GATGAACTTACCATTTCAAGGTAATTTAATGTTGGTATTTGAAAAATAAACACGATGAAAACCGTGAACTTTGGAGCATTCTATTAAATGCTATTAATCATGTTTAACATAATTACAATCTACGTACTTCATACTAAATATTTTTAGATGAATTATAAAAAAACTACACATTATATTACATTACATTTAATTAATCCTAAGTTACTTTGCACTCTCTAAATAATTAATAGGCTACATACAATTATTAACACATTTCATGCAAATATAGATCTATATTTGTGGGGTGTGAGGAAATTGCGAGACGCGAAAAGCGAAATGGCGAGGCGGGAAAATGCGAGAAGGGCGCGAAAACGGTCGGTCACGTGACTTTTTGTCTCGCATTTTACCACAACCTGATACTTACGCTGGGTGGTGTTGAAATGCGAAGATTTCTGCGAAAAATTTACCACACCCGATTTTCAGTGGTATTTGGTCTAGACTTCAAAGACGTTTCGATTACATTGTTAAAACTTCCGATTTTTCCGTCGCTAGACATACTGATGATGTGTCGACTTAGAATACCACCTTGTTCGAAACCGACGGAAATACCGCCGACGATAGATCAACTTCTGTCTTTTGTGTGGAACGCCGAGGCCGCCTAATTTACCGTATTTGAAGATCACCGTGCCCGGATCCGCTGCCGCCGCAAACATATTTTCTATTGTTGCATAGAAATTTTGTATTATAGCCGCCGCCTACGATTTTTTCCTAGCTTTTTTTGCCATATAAATATAAGCACAAGGAAATGCCTACATCATTTGGATACAAGTATTCTGGAGGTAAGAACTACTTACTGTGTGTTTTCTCTTCCAATGTTCCTTTACACTAATTTATATTAGATTTTATATCACGGTTGTGACTTTTCCGAATTTTCCATTAAAATGTTATATTATTATTTATTAATTAATTGTAAATTTAAATAAAAATTTATTATTTATTATTTCCATAAACAAGTCAGAAAAAATAACCTCAAAATAAGTATGCGATTACTGCCCTATGTGAAGGTGAGGACTAGATTAATCCTCCCTTATGTGTTGCTTATTCCTAAGCTTTTATGAACTCTCAATGCCCCCAGTTTTTTCTCTTACTTGCTGTTTGGGGGAAAAAATATAAGTGACGTCACCGATATTATCAGTTGCTCGTTCTATGTCGTAAGCTATGGGCCTACTTATTTGGGTGTTATTTGGGTCTTCCACAAATGACGTAACACTCATATGGGGGGAGAGAGGAGGGGGTCTGTAATTTTATGACGATGTGTGAAGAGGAGGGAGGAGGGGGGTTAGACGTTGTGAAGTCACACTATAAAAAAGAAATGTTGGAAAAAGAATTTTAGACGTTTTTTCGCAATTTTGAGAGGGGTTGTCGGCTGAGGTGTCATTTTAGTGGGGGGATGGGGGTCTGGATTTTTGTGATGTGTGAGGGAGGTGGGGAAGGGGGAGGGGGGTAAAAATCGTCAAAAAAGCGTGACATCATTTATAAAATTTATTAAATGGTAGTTTTGTCGATAGCGGAACTTATTCGGATTATCTATCGACGGACTTTTAAAAAATTCTGTTTATATACGTGTTCTGTGTTAGCACAGACATAAATTAACATCAGTAACTTAGTTTATCTTTTTCCTCAGAAAAATGGAAGAGTTATTTAACTCATTACCTGTTGAATTTTTGGTAAGACTTAGACCCCCAAGTGGAACCACCTATATTTATACGTGGACAGAAGATACAAACAAAGGTGAGCAATCTATGGATTAAATCCCAGACAACATTCATTCATGACGTCCAAAATAGAACCCCCATTCCCCCATTTCACACACCCGTGTATCAAATTAACTTATCTATTTGTCGTATCTAACTTATACATTTCTTGTAATTGTCAGATGACTGGAGAGCCGATGGTTACAGATGGAGACAAGGTGGCTCTTGTACTCGAAGCACAATAACCAAAAAATATTTCAAGATATACACCGGTCCAGGTGAATGGAGCAAAGGCTTCACTAGAATAGCCCATTTTCACCCTGACCATCCAAAAGCTGTTCTGATACAGTACTTGGGCGACGAAACAGTGGCTAGGGACTTTGCACATGGCAATGCCAGCAAATCGACCAAAAATTATGTTAGAACACAACCTGGCGTTCTGAACAAAATCAAAGAAAGCTGGGAACAGCTCGTCAGGTCTATCAAACGCTGGTAGAGGAAGGAAACCCTTCAAGTTCTACATCAGTCCCTCGTGATCAAGAGCAAGTCCGTTGTGCATTGAAGGCAAGTAGCAGAAAATTTAGACTATCAAGGGATGCCTTGTATAATTTTCATGAAATTGCCTTGGATACCAATTTTGTACGCCACATCACGTCCCACCCAGACCTAACTCTTGTAATGTGGATGGATGAGACCATTCAAGTATTTCGGGACACTTTAAAGAAAACGAATTGTGTCCAACAGTTGTCATATGACACGACATTCTGCCTAGGTGATTTTTACGTCTCAGTGCTTTTGTTTCGTGAAACGGAATTCACGAATGAACCTGTTATACCACTTGCCTTCATGATTCATGAAAGGAAAACAACAAAGACTCATGAAAATTTTTGGCAACACATCAAGTCTGTTTGCCCAGAGCTGAATACCTCTAAGCAAGTCATTATAGTCACAGACCAAGAAAAATCTATAACTGATGCAATCCAGGGCAGTTTTCCAAATCAGCAGCGTTTTCTGTGTTGGAACCATGTACTGCAGGACTGCAAGCGCTGGCTTAGGTCCCATGGGGTACAGTCATCTGATGAAATGGCATATAATATTGGCACTGTAAAATCCCTTCTGCAGGCAACAAGTGAAGAAGAATACAAGGATAACTTCATATCTCTTATTTCCAGATGGAGCTTACCTTTTACAGAGTATTTCAGCAAAAATGTTCACCCATCAATGAACAAACTGGGTTCTTGGGTCTTAGCAGATTACGGCCTTTCCGAAATATCAGCAAACCAAAGTGAATCGTTTAATGCTGTACTAAAAAGAATGCATAACTGGAAGGAAGCGCCCGTTGACGCAATGGTCCTGAGCCTCTTCAGGCTTGGACAGTTCTACGTCACCGAAACTTACAGGGGACGAAGGCTAATAGGAGATTGGCTGCTTAAGGATGATCTTGTTCATCTGTATAGGGAGGAGCATACCGTCATTCCGCCTGCAGTTAACCCCGATGACATTGTTGAAAGAATTCGAGAGAACTTACATCAAGAAGCAGCCTTAGTAACTGCACCCATAGGGAAGGACTGTTTGCCTGTTTGTTCAACTGTTGCCGAAAGGGCACAATTCGTGATTGACAATGAACTGATAAGTTTAAATACTAAACTTGGTGTGTCCACCATTAAAAGGTCAACCGACCCCTGGGTGGTCACCCTTTTTCCAAGGGAAACATGCTCCTGTCCGGCCGTCGGTAACTGCTATCACATTGTGGCGGCCAGACAGGCAGTTGGATTATCGGCAGTTAGCAACAAGAAATCAATAAATCTAACACAACTAAGAAGAGCTGCAAGGAAGCGACAAGATAAAACTTCAGGACGTAAACGTCCACGCCCCGCTGACGTAGATCCGGCTGATGACCACAATGAACAAGACATTGCCAAAATTACAGAAATGATAAAAAATACAAATTATAAAAAAAGGAAAACAGATGTTGTGCGTGCGGATGATGATGATGAGAACATGGGTGCCAGTGTTGTGTGTGGGATGAACGAGGAGGCCAACTGTGATGAGAATGTGACATGTTGTGAATGTGAATTGGAAGAAGTAGCAAAAGAAAAATGTATAAATGGGAGTCTAATGAACTGGGTTGGGTGTACTATGTGTGAAAGATGGTGTCACGAGGTGTGTTTGAGTAGTGCTAGGACTGTTTCAGAAGATTTTGTTTGTAAATTTTGTTTGTAATTAAAATTACTTAATAAAAAAAACAAATTGCACTTTTTAGAACTGTTTATACTTTTTACACTTTTTGCAAGTACAAAAATCCATAAATACATGTTGCAGAATATCTCTCCTGCTGACAAGATTATACCACGTTTATAAATGCCGACTGAGACGGGATTTTCCTCTCGCTAACGAGAGCGGGAGATAGATCTAGATATAGATCGATCTATCTTCTTAGTATCTATCTATCTATATAATAAAATCTAGATACAAATTAACAACATACAACACTCGTGTTAAAGGGTATTGCTAAATGCTTGTTTATTTTAAAACATGAAAAAAAACTTTTTTTTTTCGCAAAAGGTGTCTCGCTATTTACCTTTGATTCCGCAGGTATGTCTCGCATTATCTTCTCGCATTTTCCCGCCTCGCCATTTCGCTTTTCGCGTCTCGCAATTTCCAAACACCCATATTTGTGACTTTTGTCCTGTGGCTTTTTTTCCTGTGACTTTTTTTCTGTGTTTTTTTCCTGTGTTTTTTTTTTCGTGTGACTTTTTTTCCCTACAATCCTTGGGACCTCGGTAGTCCGTGGACATTGTCCACCTTGGTCACAATAACAAAATTTACTTAGTTGTTATGCAACTGTTCCATTAGGATATGTGTCTGATGTAGTCCCCATTTTTCTCAACAGACCAGTGATGGGTTAAGATTTAAAGCTACAGAGAAAAGGAAGTTGACTTGACGACGACTGTTTTTTTTTTACGGAGCGAGATTATATAGATCTTGATCTAGACTTCGTTCAGTCAGAGTAGCCTACACTACACATTACTTTTGACAGTTTCCCAATTCTATTGATTTTTTTGTTTTGTATACTGTTTAATAAACTGTCGACACACATCTACGATTCATTTCAGAATTAAATATATTCCATATTTATCTATTTTAGAGTAACCTAGTTATTTATTTTTTAAAACAAACTGAAAAGCGTATTAATACTTGTAAGTAGGTCAGCACAGGTGACACAAACTGAGTTCAGCGCAGGTATAGGAAGAGGACGAACGGCCATTGAACCAGTCAACGCTAGACTCAACAATAAGGTCGACAAAATGAAGTTCCTGACAACACTGTGTACCTGCCTTTTTATATTTTCAGGTAGGCCTATTGCTTTTGAAAATTGTGTTTTTATTAAATAATATTTAAAACAACATTGGGTGCCAATGCCTAGAATCAATAATTTTAAAATTTAAAGAATTAGACGTAGAGTCGTAGACTATATCCAGTTGATCTAGAATCTAGATCTACTATGATCTAGTTTTAAGTTTTACTGTTTTAAAAATGCCAATAGTCTTATTCCGATACGACTATAAGGCAAATAATAGCATGCTAATGTTTTTCACCTTAAGAATAGTTGCATTATATTATATGTGTAGATCTAGTTAAAGTTATTAAAGATCTATCTAGCAAGAGTGTTAAGTTTAAAATACGGAAATATTAGCATGAGGATGGTGACGCTCAAACCCGGAAATGATTTTAGGTTAAAAATTATGTCCCAGATTAGCAGATTATCGCTAATGTCACTTATTGCCTCCTTCTGTGATTGTGGTAGTGGTAGCAAAATTGATCTTGATCTATCACATAGGCCTACACTTATACAATATAATAGGACTAACTAGGATTAGGCCTATATAGGCCTATAGGATAGTCAGCTAGTCTTAATATTGTTAATGATATGTTAGGCCTATTAAAGGCTATTATTAGGCCTATAGGCCTATTATAAAATATATAGGCTAATATAGGCCTATAAAAATAGTGGTAAAGAAGGGCACTAAGAGCCACACTTCATTCTAACACATCTTACACAATATAAAAATAATAATTACCTAAGGCTATTAAATTTACTTTAAATTGGTTTAATCTAGCATTTATGGTGGGGGGGGGGGGGGGTACATATGTCCCCAGGCGCCAACCTTAGAGGGCACCAAAATGGGTTGGAAAACAAATTAAAATCTCATTTTAGCTGCAGTTTTGCATTATAAATATAAAAAAATAAATGGGGGGGGGGGTGTGCAAATTGAAAATTGAAAGTTTGTACCCGGGCATCTGAAAGGGTAGCTATGCCTCCGTTTATAGTCATACCCCAAAATCAGCATTTGGGGCCAATGTAGCAGGACCATGGGGCATTAAGTATTATCTAGATTTCTATCAGTTAAGACTAACTCAACAATAAAAATAATTGGCAGAGAAATATTTCTAGAATTATTGTTATAAAAGTTGCAAATCCAGAGAACTTAAAAATAATTTAATGCTGCATTTCTATTTATATTCATCAAGCATAAGTTTCATAAGAAAAACTGACTGGCTCTAGTATCTACATGAACTGATTGATATTCTGAAAACCCGACTTATTTCCTTATGCCTTGCTTTCGTTTCCTTGTTTACTTACATGTAAAATAGGTAATGTGGAAAAGATTAGGTGCATGGGCAGCTGATGAAAACCAAAATAACCAAAGTGTTAATTTCTAAACCTAATGCTATAATATTTTGCATATAGTTATGACTCAAAGTCTAAAAATAACAAAATAGCTGAAAATTTTATGCGGTTGCCATGGTGATGGCGGCCATCTTTGTTTATACTATTTTTCTGGGAACCCAATATTACAAACCATAACCCAACTAAATAAACCAACATAACAGCAGCAAAAAGTCACCAAAATCTTGATTTTTAGTCATACTGTGTTTCTTGCACTTTTAGATTAAGAAAATAAATACTTAAGTGAGAGAAAAATCTTTAATGTGTTTGAAATACATTTTTTTATTATGCCATTATTTAAAAAATAGTAATTTGTTCCCAATTTTTTACACTCTCTAAGAAAAGTTCAATATCCATCCTCTTTTTGTATTTGTCATCATTGGAAAGCTGGATTTCTCATGTATTTGATAATCGTATTTTCAGTCTTCTCAGAAACATCTAAAGCTTTCTATTTACTTTAAAAATTACACAAAACCAGTATTTTTTTGACCTGCTTTCATTACTTTTTGCTGTTTTTATCATTTTGCAGTTCTTTAGCACAAAAAGTCTACCACTTTTTAAAATTATTTGTACAGTTCCCACCTTATTTCAGTATTTGTTGTTCATGTAATAATAAAACTTGTGTCACAAGCGAACTTTGATGACTTTTATATAGATTAAACAGTTATGTTAAGAATATGCCAATTTTTATGCTTGCATACTAAAAAGAGTGCAATTTTTTCTGACCTTGTAGAATTCTGATTAGTGGCTCTATCAAAAAGTTGTTGTAACAAAGTTTAAATAAATACTGAAATAAAAGCTATATATATATATCAATTGTCTCTGTCAAAAACTCAGAAAATGTACAAAAAGCTGATAATTTCATTGTTGATCTCTGATACATTTTTAAAAAAAATGATATGTGCGAAGAACCTCTCTACCGACTACACTGTAGCGTTTTAAAATTAGTTAATATTTACAAAATTATAGCAGGTTTAAAAGTTAGTCAGTTTTGCTCGGTCTAAAACTCTCGCTGCCAAACCGTCTTATCTTTGCGCATGCAGGCTTTTGAACAGAGAATTTCTGTCTCAGCTACGTTCGTTCGTTTCGTCCAATGAGCGTGATTTAGCTATGTTTATGTTTTAAAGTTTTATAATATTTAGATTATAATTTTGGGCTCATATTTTTATTTGAGTTTTTTTGGGATTGGTTTAATTTTAGTAGAGATGTTTTAGTACAAATGGTAGCTGCAGTGAGGTTAATTCAATTAGTAATAAAACAGATAGTGTTAGTTACCTCACAAGTTAAAGACAGTTACAAGTACTATTGACGTTTCGACCCAAGGTCTTCGTCAGCACACAACAGTGTGATTACAAGTGGTCAGGGGCTACGGATGAGATCATAAGCAGACATGCCTACCGTCTCGCCAAAATCGGAACCGTCCCGCTTTTATACCTAAAAAAGTAATTTGTTCCGTCATTCCGAAATTGACTCAGTTGGTTCCGATTTTTTTGAAAAAAAAAATTAATAAAGAAAAGTAATCAAGTAAATTTTAAAAAATGTCATGAAAAAGCAATTATCTCCCTTTGGCACACGTTTATGTTTCCTAGTTTACTTACAATATTTACCAGTATCATCTAATACTAGATCTAGTTAGTAGTATATATAATAGATCTAGAATTGTAACTAGATCTACTAGTACATACTGAAATAGTGAATACTGATCTATCTTGTAAGTTTAACTTAACCAGTAACTACTATTATGAAGAACTTAAAAGTAACAAGGAGTTTTACTAGGTAGATCAAGGGTCTTTGTTCGTAACTTATATTATATATTACATATGATGAAGCCTTCAGCATTTGTTATTCATATAGCCTAGAACATAGTAAGACATAAATATATGATTTTTATTCGGGGGGGGGGGGTTACTGGTTAATTTATTTTTTAAAATGTAAGCTGACATTAAGCAGTATTTAAATGTATCATAGAGACTAGTTATGTAGGACTAGAAGCCTACTAATGTCATTAGAGTAATTTTTAATTAATTATTTTTATTTTTGACTTAGTAAAGTAGCGTCTGCGCGTATGTTCCTCTTTTTGGCTTCAAATTCCTCTTTTTAGGCATAACTGTTCCTACTTTTGGCTGACAGGGGTAGGCATGTCTGTCATAAGGTTGCGACCCTAGTTTAGCAATTGCCAGCTATCTGCTAATTGACTTTGAATTAGATAGTAGCATCAGGATTGTTCTGTAGTGCACAATTATCTATCGCGTTGAATTCTTGTTATGTCTGACTGGTCTGTTGAAAAAAGGTGGTGTCTTGTATAGTAAAACTGGTCTGAGAGAGGCTAGTCTGTTGTATGGTAATAATTGTCTTTTGAGAGAGGCTGGTATCTTGGAAAAATAAAACTGGAATGTTTTTGTGACTAATAAAATGACAGCTTGAGATTGCTAGCTAACTTTAAATAGCCTTCTCTCTCTGCTGTATGGTAGGATCTATCAATACTCAATACCATTTCATATCATGTGATTAAATAATTTCAAGTCTGATCTGAAATCTAAACAGGTAATACTGATCACTGTAGTAAGCTAATTGCTAAGCTCATGTTTAATGTGTTAACCATTGAAGCATGCTTATTATTTATTGAACTGAATAGCCATCTCAATATTTCACCATTAATATCAAAATTAATCATACAGGCATTTACTAAAGACAACTAAGCATGTCGTTTAACATGTACACCAAAGATTTTGTGACCTACCATATAAAACATTTGTTAAACCGTAGCTAAACCCTAAATCTAAAGCTATATAGTGAATTAACAATAATTACATTTATTGCACAAGCTTGTGGAAATATAATTTGAATAATATTGTTTTAATTGATCTATAGATTTAGATTCTAGAATGAAGATCTAGTTTCAAAGCATTGTGTTAGCCTAATAAAATTGTAAACAAATCAGTTTGGTTATTGAAAATCTGGAAATAGGCTTTATTAAACAAATACTCTTTGTTTATTATTCTTTAAAATTATAAAGAGTAATTGAATAGATTAACATAATTAATCAAATATCCTTACCTACAAGTACTGTGACTGCTGTGCTGTAAAATTGTATGATTGCAGCGTGCCACTGCGTTTCCGATCAAAACTTTTACTGACAAATATAGCGATGTTCGTTTTGCACCGAGATTTTTAGCACTAGAAATAAAAGGCGGTTTGTTCAAATGATTATATCTCGATAATCATTCTACAGATCTCTATAATATTTTCAGGCATTATGGAGAATTAAACTTGCTTTTGATTTATGCAGAAAAAAATTGAATTTTTATGAGATAGACAGTTTTTGACGGAGACCATCGATATATATGTATATTATATATATGTATATATATATATTTATATAGATTCCATTGTATGACCCCTTTGCTAACAGTGATTGATGGGTATATATTATTTAATCATTACTTTTTTGGTTAGTACACAATGCTAATTATATGAAAGATACATTGTTTTATATTTCATTTTCTGTTTGTTTTGTAAAATTGTTATATAAAATCACTATTTTTTTTCAGTTTGTGGCCAAGCCATAGTAGACAAATCAGTGATAGAAGATGGTGGAACATTTACTGTGACATGTGACGCTACACGTGCTGGTGTTCCTACAACTACTGTGGACTATGTTAGTTCTCTTGTGCTGCTTATTAAAGGAACTGCCTTCACAGAACTTGCAAGATATAGACCATATCCACCCTATGCAGAAAACTATACAGTAAGTCAACGTACATTATTTACTAATAAGTCTGTAGGCCTACTTTAAAATACTATTTTTGTATCAAATCTTATCCTTAAACATTTCACTTAATATTCATTTATTGTAAAGGTAAAATAATTGCTTGTACTGTACTGAGTCTGAATTCTTGAAAATTTAACTCTTGAAGGCCATAACGATGCTCCCAGCAGTTGACACATCGGCCTGCCATGCAGTAATGATCTTCTCAGCGTCAGATAAAATCTTCTCTGTTTCATTTGTTTTTCAGAATACAAGTTTCTAATCGTAAATCTAGGTCATGATAATGCTGGAGCAGCCATTTTTGGTTTTATTTACTTCTTGTACTTTTTTAATTTGATTATATATTTTATAGTTGTTTTTTTTTTTTTTTTTTGTAAAACCAATCACAAAACAGCTTTTTTTAGCACTGCGGAATGCCATTCAGTGGTCGAGTCTAAAAACTTATGTTGCAGTGTTATAAAAGTAACCAAAATTAAAGTATCTATGCGAATACTAATCCAATCCATGATTTGTGCAGAAATATGGACATACTTTTGTTTTCTATGAATACGAACTTCAAACAAGTAATTCTTATAATTAAATTTGAACAAAACACCTTATCATTGTTGTCTCTTCTCATCTTTTAGAATGATCAGTACTTTGGCACTAGAAACTGGACTTATCAGTTCAGTGGAGGGAGGGGAGGAACAGACAACACTCCAGTTAACAGGAATACAATCAAAATTGTGATACAAATGAATGAGGCCAAATGTGCTGATGCTGGTCTCTACTTTTGTAACGCAAGTTACATTCAAAATAAAAATGATCTAACATCATCCAATTTTTACAACGTTACTAGCAAAGGTTATTATAAAATTATGATGTTTTAAAGTGATTTTCGTCCTGTTACTTTTAACATTTTAAAAAAAATATGTCACATTTATCTCTATAATTTTTTGGAAAAACTCTACCTTAATATATATTTTTAATTAAAACGTATAAAAGTTTTATTACTGATGAGATATAAAGCAAAATAATCTTTAAGCAGATAGTACAGATAATTTTAAAAGAAATACTTCAATTTCCTGTACTTCATGCAACTTAAATCTACAAATTTATTTTAGCTAAAATTCAGCAGCCTATTTTAATACTTACACCCCATAATGAGGTTTTGGGTGATCCTTCTGCTTCAATAAACCAAGCTGGAACAAATATTACTTTCAAATGCACTGTTATGGCAAGTAGTTGTTGATCTGACCTTTTTATGTTTTTGAAAGATGTTTTTTCTCTATAAGTGAAATATACAAGTTTTCAAAAGATTGTTTAATAATTGAGTAAATACACTGAAACTGTTATAACATTGCTGCACATGTACGTTTTTTTTTTGTTTGGTTTTTAATTTCATAATCATATACACTTAAAATGCTTTTAACCAGTTTCATTTTTGTTTTGTTTTTTAATTAAATGTGTAGGGCCCAACTGGCTTGAACTTACTTTGGAGATATGGGAAAAGTGACCAAGGAGTTGAGAATTATCCATATCAAAATCACATTACCAGCCGTGAGCCAACAGCATCTGGTAGTTGCAATCAATATAGTTATGAATCATCTCTGTTGTTCCCTATGGATTCATTACATGATGGTTATACATTCTATTGCTCTGTACAAGACAGTAACAGTAATGCTCTAAGTGCTAATTTGACAGTCTACACACAACCTAGTGAGTTTTGTTTGTGTAACTGTTATTTATAAGTATGTATATGATTGTTTTTATAAATAAACCTCTAAGCAAATAGCTCAAAGTACCAAACTAAGAATTTTCAACTCTACTATTTACCTGTGCTATAAAGTTGGCATCAACAAAAGAAGCCTGGAATGGACTATAATATGGGATATCACAGGACAAATCCTTTTGGAGCTAGAAATTTGGAAAAGAAGATGGAGATGAATCGGCCATTTGTGAAGAAAACATGCTACTAGATTTACTATACAAGGCATATCATGTTATCCAAAAGGATAAAAAAAAAAAAGAGTCCCAAATACCTTGGCAAAGAGAAATAATGTATCGTAAAAACATGAAAATTACATATTTATATGTATACATTTTTTTAATGCTGAAGTTGTAAATCAGTTTCAATTTTGTTTCTATATGTAATTTAAGCCACTAAAGAGCCAGATGCTGATGCGAATACTGCTGATGCTGGTATAAATGTTGGTGCTATTGTTGGTCCAATCATTGGTGGTCTAGTTCTGATAGCCATCATTGTTGTGGTGGTCTACTTCTGCTGGTATCGCAAGAGGGACACAACTAAAGGTGAGGACAGCTTGTTCATTGTTTTCTGTTTTTAAGGGTTAAAATCCTGCATTGTTATACCAAAATATTTTATCGGAAGGTTGTGACCCATTCTACACCCTGGTTTTTTAACAAGATTTATACTTGTAACATGGATGTAATTTTTGAGTTAAATATTATTATTAGAGCTTTAAACTGCTAACCTGAGAGCCTCAAGTTTGGATCACAGGCTTGATTCTGTATGACATCCCTTAGTTCACCAGCTCTTATGGGTACCTGACTCAAGTTAAACAAAGTAAAGGCGGCTGGCCATATATTGACAAACTAATTCTTTATATGCCATGGTCACTGAAACAAGTGAACTCTACAACATCTGCCCCTTGAATGATAAGGTATGAAAGGGGGTACATGTGTAATATACATACATATCTATAATTTTTTGTTCATACCTCTGAAGGATAAGATTAGTATTGACTTATTCCTTTGGAGTACATGATGAGCACAGTGCTGCAGATTTGGGCAGCTCTCTTTTTTTGCACCTATATATGCACAGCAGTCCTTGCCTTGCCTTTCAAAGTCCTTTTCCATGATTGCCTTGGTCGGCCTTCTTTCCTCTTCCCCTGGGAATTCCAGTCTAAGGCTTGCCTTGCAATGTTATCCCCTACCACTCTATCCCCATCTGCTGGCTTAAATGTCCCTGTCTATTTGCTGTTGTTTTGTGTTTTGTCACAGGTCTTCATTGTATTGTTTTTTGGCCATCTTATCTTGAGGGTCTGTTGTAAACATCTGAACGACATTAGCCTGTCTGGACTTGTCTTGGTAACCCTCCAGGTCTCCGAGCCATAAAGTAACTGCCTTAACATAGTTTATACAGTTTTTTCTGTCCTCATCTGCTCCCCCATCCTTGTTGATCACACTTCCCAGTTACGTGAATGTGTTTCTCGTGTCTTCTCCTGTATGGGCAGGTCCTGTTTGTTATTGATTCTGATGACCTCTGTTTTATTTCTATTGCTGAGGAGGCCTCTTAGATAGTTGATTCATTTTGGTTTGGCCATGTTGTTGTTTCTTAGATAGTAGCAGATATTCTCCCTACAAGTTTGTGACAAAATTGCTGTTTTTGTTTTAAAAAAACATTTAACTGCAAAAAGTTCTTAGAATATGCTTTTTTAAAAATCAAGCAACCCATATTTTACGATATTAGGATTTTTATGTTTGTCTGCTTTATAGTCTGTCAGCCTTTTTCGTGTCACCCATGTAGGACTTTTTAGTGTGGTGATTGCTTGTGTGTACATGTGTGGAGTGAGACAGGATAGCATTTGTCTGTATGCATATGTATAGGGACCAAGTGGCGGTTGTTAGCATTGGTGTGTAGTGCTGTTTTCTATGGATATTACGTGTTTGTGTGTTGTTGTCATCCTTTTTTACCTTGTGAATTAATACAAATTTTAGTCTAGGCAAACTAAAAGAATAAATATGTATCTGTACTTTTTAGCGCAATTTCCATTCTGGAGAATTGCGTTTATTAACCCGTCATTTCTGGATGGATGAATGGATGGATGAATGTGTGTCCACAGCTTTAAGTCGTATCTCCTCCTCAACAAAGCAATATCGAGGACTAGTTCCAAAAGCAATTATGTTAAGCAAGTTACGAGGATGAACATAGGCCATAAAATTTCCGGGTTTCTTTCATGGATTTCCCGGAAAAGCCAAAAAACCTCGAAAAAAATGCAGTTTTTTGCCCATATCTCGGCAACCAGACCACTTAGCGACTTGAAACATGTACCAATCGATTCCTGCCATAATTTAGAACAATATTGCCGAAGAAAGTTTTCAAAAATAACCTTTCGTTCAGTCACAAAAAATTTTTTGAATTAAAATTTGGACCGAATTAGTAGGCATTTTTATCCAACCACACCACACGCATCATCACGTTCAATGGCTGTGTCATCACGTTCAGTAGCTAGGCGCGCAATGGTTTTTAGTCATGTAACTTTATTGTAAATAAAACATGTATTTTAACCAATGGTTTTACTATCCCTGCTCTTGATTTACGCTACGACAGAGCTATTTTTATATAACATAAGGAAATTGCGCTTAAATGTCACTAGACTTTTTAATTAACTTGTTTAACCAATAAAAATATTTGAAAACTAAGTTTACATGATTAATGTCTTAGTTTAGTTATCTTCTTGGCAAATAAAAACATCTGCTATGCATATTTAATGCTAGATTCTATTGATCAATTTTTTTATTACATCTACTTGTAATTGTATTTTAAAATTCTACTTATTTTATTTGCAGATAAAGATAGAGAACCGTAAGTAAATCAGCATGTTGGCAATTACTTGAACAATAAACACTGTACAAAGATGTTTAGCATAGTTTATTAATTATTTAGGGAGCTAGAATAATTGTGCCAAGTTTTACCCTAATATTTCCAGTGATGCTACAGACTCCAATGTACATGCCCCCCCTCCCACCTTCTATGCCAAGCCGCACAAACAACCAAAGGAGGAAAAAGACAACATTGTAAGTTCTTTTTAAATTAGGCATAATCTTTTATTTAGGTCACAATGTGTCTATCTGTGGCAAATCTAACAAAATTTTGACCCACTTTGAATGCCATTTTTTGTTTTAACCTACCATGGACTTGAATAAGGGGCAGATAGATTTAGTTAAGTGTTGATTTGAGGCAAATACTTTAGCCATGAAATTTGTATTGATTAAATATTACAGAGTTAAAACAACTATGGTACTTATTGTTTTATAGCTTAATAAATTAATTACTCTGATATTTTTAACTTATCTAAATACTGTAATTTAGAAAACAAATGTATTTAAAAAGATCATATTAAGAATAATCTGTTAAATGTACTAGAAAAAAGAAAACAGAAACTTTTTCTGTATAAGCATTAGTTTCTATAACTCAAAAGATTTTATTTGTAATTTTTCTCATCCTTTATCCTGTTCTAATGGGCTGAAAAAAAAAAAAAATTACTCATGAAATCTTCTATTTAAAGCCTTACACTTACACAACCAGGTCTCTTCAAACCATTTCTGGAGTTTTTTTTGTCTATTTTGTACTATCCTCAGTGTATTGGCAGAATATGATAGGATTGCCACATAGCTATTGATTGTTTCAAACACTCTCATCACCCCAACTCACTTTGACCTAATAGTTAACAACATAAGTATATCATTACTTAATGCATTGAATTTTGGTGATAGAAAGCCATCATTAATTAAGTCCTTAAATGTTTGTGTCACATCATTATTACAGAGGGGGCTATCACATGCATTAGTAAAATGTATTTTTCTATTTAACAAGGAAGTTGGCCTTGCCAAGTCTGCTTTTATATGCCAGCTGTTTATAATTGTTGGCCTATAGTTCTACACTGCCAAACTTTACCTTTACTTTATGTTTTAACATATCTCAATGTTTTACACATGTTTAAAACTTAGTTTTGTAATTTTTTCTGTGTATCAGTCTGTGATTTGAGAAATGATTCAGTTATGACCATGAAATTTCATAAATAAAATTATATCGAATTTCTAGTTCTCTTTCATCTAATTAGTTTCCAGATGTGGTACTTTCTCTACTTTATAGAATATTTTTAATGCAGCCTATTCTAAGTACTTATCACCTTTATGTGTTTGTGCATACAATGAGCGGTTTTGTCACTAACTTCTTCATTTCTGTAGCCTGGTAGCACTTGAAGTGCCTTCCAAACCTTTGTTATATTACAAATGATGCTTTTTTTATGAAAAACAACACATTTACAGAACAAAAACAGTAAATAACAGAACACAACATTGAATCTTAAACATACTTGTTTGGTTGCTTATCCTATTACTGCTGATAATGACAAATGTATGTTATAATAATGCAAACTATAAAATACTGCCAATAAAATAGGCAACTATTGGTGTATTATTTCACAAAATGATATGAAAAGTTTAGGACATGAGGTATTTTTTTTATTTTTTCAGTGTGAGTTACTTTTTTAACTGATGTTTTTTTTGCTTTACATTTTTTAATATTTGTAAATTAAACTCTAATCAATCTTAAAGGCACTGGCAAGATTTATTTTTAAATAACTAAAGAATAAAATCTCTTGATATTCTAAGTAATAAGCATCCATATTTTTTCAAAGCAATTAAAAAAAACATGGAAATCACTATCAACATTTATTTATTGAATTAAATAAAAGCGATTGTATGGTATTGATAAAAAAAGTAGTAATTAAATTTCAAACCTAAAATTAATAGTCCGCTTCTTGCCTCTGCCTTTCAGACTGAGGGTGAAGCTAAGTTAGCTCGTTATGATGACTATGGATACAGTGTTGCCCATGAAAAGTCACATAATGACACGAAGCCTGATAGGGAGCCTAGGCGCCACAGGCCGAGTAGAAAAAATGATGAGGATTATAATAATCCACCATACTCGTATGATAACCACTACCCATCAAGTGACCAGCATTACGCCAGTGACCAGCATTACGCCAGCGCTGATGTCTCCAGAAGTGGGGACGAGTCAGACGCTCCACTAGAAAGCAGAAAACCCAAACCCAAGCGTAGATCCCGCGTTCCCCACCCAGAAGGTCGCCCCCACCCTGAAGGTCGCCGTGATGACCAACCGTTACACTACGCTGAGCTGGACTTGCCTCGAGGAAATGAAGGTCAGAGGTCTGGCACTGGCAGCCGCAGCATGAGACTGGAGGATTTACCTGTGGAGTACGCTGAGATCAGGGTCTAAATAACACCTGGCTATGGTTGGCATGAAAGTTGATTTTAATACAGTTCTGCTACATTTTAAGCTGCCCAAAGCCAAAGACTTAATAGTTTCATTTATGATTGTTGAAGATTTCTTTTCTTCATTCAGAACCAAAGTTTTATTTTGTTAATATTTTTCCATGCTTTTATTTAATCAGAATTATTACTTCAAATGACTGATGTACATTTTTTGTTTTTGGCAAAAATAATTTTGTTTTAGATGTAAATATAAATAACATTTGAAAACTTGATAAAGCTATGTGTTACTTCCAAATAGGAAAACTACAATATCTACATATAATATTCTACATATAATGTTGTAAAATGTTGACTGAATTCAGACATGTTCTGGGTTGTTAAATTTTGCCTTATATTTAAACCACTGAAAAACATTTGTATAAATTGCCAAAAATTTTAAATCCAGTAGATAATTTATATTACAGGTGTTTGCTCTACATCAGTATGTAGTTCCACCTTGTGTACGTGCTTGTTTCTGAGCTTTCTGTCAACAGGGTAGAATTTTATATAAGAAGCAAGTAGTCTAGAACATATTGCTTTAAGTCAGGCCTCTCCAAACTACGGCCTGCGGGCCAGATGCAGCTTGTGAGGTCCTCTCATCCATCCCGCTGAGACTTTTGTCCATGGAAAAAAAATATTTGTTGGATATGGCTGAGGAACTGCCCAGAAAATTAAAAATAATGTTGCAGACATTAGTGAAAACATTGTGATTCAAATAGAGAAAAATGCAAGTTAAGCAATTTTTTAATTGCAGTGGATGAGTCGCTGGACAGCTGTTCCACCTCTCAACTGCTTGTGTTCATTAGGGGTGTGATTGAAGACATAAACATAACACTAGAGCTGGCTTCCCTACATAGCATATATGACATTGTTACAGGAGAGGATGTATTCAATGAGTTGAAAAAAAAACATTTTCTGATTATTACATGGACTGGACTAACCTCAGTTGCCTGACTGTTGTTTGAGGAAAAAAAACATGAGTGGCATAAAGAAAGGCTTGGTTGGACAAGTGAAGCAGATGTGTAATGAGAAAAACTTCCTACAACCAATGTTCCTGCACTGTATTTTTTATTTACCAGCAAGCTTTGTGTGCTTAATATGTGGACATAAGCAGTGAAGTGAATCCTGTGTTGAAGATGGTGAATTTAATAAGGTCACATTGTCACATGGGCTCAACCATATATAGTTCAGAGACTTGTTGAAAGATACAAACACAGAAAAAATAACAAGTCATTTGAATTTTCTCAACCTAAAACTACAAGAGAGGGAAATCTAGTTTTTGTATGCAATATCATCAAAGACCTGCAGCTTCAGTAGCTGTTTTTTGATTGGCATTCAATGGGGCTCTACCACCATGAAGAAATGCCTGGAAAAAACTCTTGGCCCCTGAACTGATATTTGATAGTTAATGTGGCCCTGTGGCTGAAAAGTTTGGAGACCCCTGCTTTAAGTAATACTCTAATTAATTTTTTTTTTATATGCTCTTGCTTTTTGTGTAAAGCATTAAATATATTTAATGTTTGTTTTTACGAACTAACTTCTTCAAAGTTGTTTTTTTAAACAGAATTTGTAGCTGTGTAACTGTATGAAAACATATTTTTGTTTTATTCAATTATTCTTGAACTAAATTTAAATGCAATTTTTACCTCAGGTTTATTATTAAATCTTCTGCATGACATGGTTATTGTAGCTCAAAAATGCAGCTATAAGAGTTTGAATAGCATTAGAATGTAAAAACTTCACTTGGTTGTTGAAATGCATGTTGTAAGCTTTAGTGTCACAAGCTGCCATCTGCAATCTTCGTTCCAATTTAACCACTTTATTATTTTTAGTTGTTTTTTTACATATATTTAAATGTTTTTCTACCACCATTGTATCAAACTATGCATACAGAGTAAGTTTTGTTTAAATTAATCTTAAGCTGCACAGCCTTAAAGTGATATTTTAAATTGGAATACTGCATTACTGTAAATACTTTTTATTTTATCCGTAAGGGCATGGGCGGGTGATAAAAACCAAAATAACCAAAATGCTTATTTCTCAAGCTTATGCTATAATAATTGGCATATAGTTATGACTCAACGAGTTTAGTCTAAAAATAAAAAGAAATGGCTAAAAATTCATGCCATTGTCAAGTTGATGTTGGCCATCTTGGATTTTATTTACCTTTTTAACATTAGAATAACTCAAAGATGGCTTATGCGAATTCAATAATAACTTGCAGGATTATACTCACATGTGAATAACAATCATGAGAGATCAAATTTTCAAATACTTTTGTTTTTACAACTTTTTTTCTAAAAATAACTTTAAAAAAAAATCTCAATTCATGCAAAAAAAAGACACCATTTCAACTGTAAAAGAAAAACCATACAAATTTTCAAAAGTGTCTTTAAGTTTTGTTGTTAAGTCACAATGTATTTTTTTCACTTAAAATTGTGTTACATGCTCAGATCAAACAATAACTTGTTAATTTAAATTTTCATAAATTTTCTATTAGATTTTTCTGACAGATCTTACCTTAAAAAATATGAAAATGATTATGATTGAATATATTAACATTTATTATATTGCCTATATTTTAAAATGGTATATATTAACATTACACAGCTCTTCTATATATTGTCATATTACTTGTAATTTACTTAAAAAAAATAATTCATAAATATGTGTGTGTGTATATATATATATATATATATATATATATATATATATATATATATATTTATATATATATATATATATATATATATATATATATATATATATATATATATATATATATATATATATATATATATATATATATATATATAGGATATACAAATAATTAATTTGTTTTTATAAAAGAAATAAACATAAAAGTAATTATTTTCCAAGTTACCTCATTTGATGAATCTTCCTCTACCTCTTACCCTTTCAGTGCTTTTCCTTTAAATGATTTCACATATGAACTTGTTGAAGCCAGCTTTTTTTTTCATCAGTACACCTTTCACTGTTTGTTTCAGTAACAAAGTAGTTAAATAAGCTCTCTTCAGTGTACAAACTATAGTACTCATCAGTTCAAATTTTCAGGAAACTCACTGTGTTGTGTGGTTTCTAAAAGAGCAAATTATCTATTGAAAATTACCTTTTTGTAATGACACTGGATGTGTTTTATAATATCTTAATCATTAGATAGCATTAGAAAATCACAATCTAAAACCAGTTGTGACTATTACTTGCAATTTTATGATGAAAACATACTTGTCACCTGCCTATTTAAATTAGAATTTTATTATTGTGCTGAGTAAAGAGGTTGAGTTTACTTTTTCAAAATACAGTTTTGCTGATGGCATGGTTTTACACCATAACACAAAGGGTAATTGTAAAATATGAATTGGTCTCTAGTGAACCATACAATAACTACCATAACAGGTAGAGGTGATGGATGTAAGTATATCTTGGTAACTCTGGATAAGTTTTTCATCTAGCATTAACTGTTTTTATTTTAAAAAGAAAGTCCGCATGATTGTTAAATAAAATGTTTATCTCTTCTCTAGGATTCTGGCAAAATCAACAAGGGACTGGATTTGTCATATGAGCACGAAGACTCCAAAGGGCCCCCTCGTTACACCAACACTGTAGATGATGATAACGAGCCACCTCGTTATGACAGGGGGCGCAGCAACAAGGGCTATGATGAAGACAATAATAAGGAAGAGCGCAGCCGACGGTAAGATGGTCATTATTTTATTTTACCTTGAAAAGGTTATAATATATAATTAAACATAAGTGCACATTAAGTTTTAATTTATAGTGATGTTGGTGTTAAAATACATTGTTTTTTAATTCACTGTTTTAATAAAAAAAAGTATTTAAACTTTATCAATATGGTATCACAGTCATAGAGACCGTGAGGACCGCAAAGATCGTGAGGGCCGCAAGAGCCGCAGCCGTGACCCAGACGAGGAGCCACGCCGCCGCTACAGCACGGATGACAACACTGACAATCGTGACTACACCCCCTATGGTGACCCAGGCATGGGGACGGCCATCTAAACCCCAGGTCTGCCTGGTCTAGCTGGGGCACGCAACACTGGCTTAAACAGTCACATAGGAGGGGTATACATTGGTCCATCCTCGACTTTAACAGTTGCATAGGATGGGGGAGGGGGGTTAGGTATACTTTGGATTTTTTTTTTGTTACTGGCAGCATCCCTATCGTGTTGAAAATTTTATTTTTAAAGTTTTTAGAGTTGACTTCATACATTTTAAGAGTTCCCCACTGTTACTTTATAGGCTCCCTATTGCTGATCAGACTCAGCTCAATTGTATTTTGACCTACAAGAACTAAAGTATAAACTATGACTCAGCTGTGTAAATCCACTTACAGAATTCCTTCTCGCCATAAATCTTGCACTGTTGAAGTTTAAATTAGTTCAACTCTTGTAAATATACAACAGACATTTCAAAAACATTTTCTTTTTTCGGTTTGCTTTTGACCACATGTAAATAACCAATAAATAACCTCAGCAATCAACTTCTAATCTAATTAACATTTCCTCATCAATTTGCAGTGACTTTTGTAGACATAATACTAATCTAATGACTTATATAATATTTTAATTTAGTTAGCATAATCTCTGTATAACAATTGTTTTGATTTTCTTGCTTTGTAACATTGAAGTTAGCCTTGCAAATGTAAACATGCCATATTGATACCATATTAATTAATATTATGTTATGTACTGAATGCTTGTCACCCAGATTGAGATTATGGTTTCTGATATACTTTTTATTTTATTTTTTTCAGAGTCCCAGTTATCCTTTAAAATCAATATTAATCAGTCTTCTTTTGCAGGAAATGAACCATAACAAGATATTCAATTTTGGAATAAAATTCTAAAATAATTTTTAGAAAAATTTCTAACTCAATTGAAAGCTATTTTCCAAAATTTACATTTAAATTAATGAAAGACAGAGTTTAAAGACATTCCAAACATTTTTTTGACTTGTTAAGGTAAGCACCAACAAAAGCAACACATATTTCATGCTGGTGTTCATATTTTATCTGATCCGTTACAAATAACTTAAGCCCTAAACAGCTTCATAGTAATAACAGAAAGCAGACGTACTTAACCAAACACATTTCATTGAGATCACTTGAACTGAGTATGAATGTTCAGTGTAGTGAATATATGTCTGAGTGATCTAGTAACCATGACATTGTATTTTTACTTTCATATACATGTGTTAGTTTTCTAATTCAAAAAATATTTTTTTTTGTTTTTATCTGAAACCTCAGGTTCTGTTTGCATGATTGTTATAGGAGTAATTCAGATGTTCAGTTAAGTGTTCACTCAAATGTTGCAGTTGACTGTACCTTACACTACAATCAGACAACCTTTGACTTCACTATGTTCACAGTTGAATTTTTTTTTATTGATTTTACTCAATCCCTGCACATATTCCAGGGAGTAAATTTACTTTGATCATCTCAGTCAGTTTGTGGTAGCTAGACATTTGGCAGCCATCACTTGTTGTGTTTCATACAGTTATCTCTCCACCCCATATATATATATATATATATATATATATATATATATATATATGAATATATATATATATATATATATATATATATTCATATATATATGTATATATATATATGTGTATATATATATATATATATATGTGTATATATATATATATATATATATATATATATATATATATATATATATATATATTCATATATATATATGTATATTTATATATATTAACCAATGTCCTTTGGCTGGAGGTTTTTAGAGAAAAATGTCTGAAAGAAACCCTTAATACCTTTACATCCTACTGATCACAATATTTTCACTATTTAACACTACCAATTTCCTTGCCTAATAAAACTTACTTGTTCAAATCTGGAGCATGCATGTATTTCACTTGATTGAAGTGGAAATGTATTTATGCCAATGGCAATAGGAATGATATGGATACAACACAGTAGAAATACATAGTGCTCTATGTTTATGTTTGGCCTTATGTGTGTTTCATCAATACAGCTGTGATGTAACTGTTGCTAGAAATGTTTTATTTCTTCATACATTGACTCTGGTGTCAAACTATGCAATGGTATACACACCTTTCTAATCACCATTACAAAGTGTTTATCAGATATTAGAGATAAAAGTTACTGGAATAATACATTATCCATCACAAAATTAACTTCATTTAACACTATTTGAAAGATACTAATTGATTTTAATATCTGAACATGTCACCAACTTACACATTCCTAATGTTCTGCTGTCCCATCACTGTTGTAAAGTGTGTACAAAGTGGTTTACAAATCCTGCTAAATCTAGATGTATTACCTTGTCCAGGATTTCCAGCTGCCTGAGTGTCTCTATCTAACGTTAGCTAGACACAGTTTGTCAGTTGTCTCATGGTTACTGTTTGTTTTTATTGTTATGAAAACCACTCACACTAAGATTTGTTTCCATTTTTATTTTATTACAATTTTTAATTCAGAGTACAGTTTTGTGAAAACCACTGTAAATATATGCAAATGTACCAGAATATTTTACCATATTTTAGAAATTTAGAATCTAAAAACAAATTGTATTTTTTAATGTTTTAAATTTTATTTTTATGCACTGGATTCCAAACAGATAGCAATTAACATTTCTCATATTCATTGTAGTTTATAGAAAAACCACATTTGTAACTATAATTGAGATGGCTTTTTTTTTAAAAAAAAACCCTGTATTTTTAGTTTTATTTTTCTAGTATATTTAAGATAATCTTCACTGCCAGATAAAACATTTAAGGATAAAGTTAAATAACTATTTGTAAAACTTGCTCTTTATTAAAAGAAAAAAAACAAATTCCTAGCCATCGAAGTAGTCCTATTCTAATGAAACTGGCTACATAATGTCTATAATGATTTTTTTATGTTAATTTCTTTCTACCAACATTCCATTTACATTGTAAATATTTTTACTCTATATTTTAAAAACGTGTATCATTTATACTGGCAAAATAAAGTACATAAACTCCAGACTTTTTTTTCTATCTAGACCTTAGTAATAAATAGTTCGTGTTCATCTGTTGTATGCTCTACAGATGACTCATCTACCAGCTTACATCGGCATTTGATAGTGTATTCAGAAACAAATCCCTGCAACAATTTTTTTTCCCCAAACACGTCAGTTCTGGACACAAAGGGACAGTAGCTGGACTAAGGGGGACAGTAGATGGACATAAATAAATATAAATGTTTAATTAGGGCTTCGTATATATATTTTGTATAATAATCAGCATTTGCGGTTTAGAGGAATTCAAATCAGTATGCTTGAAACACATGGAAATGTCTTGTTACTAAAAGCGCAAAATCAGTAATTGATATTAGTCTTAAAATCTCAACCGTTAATATTTTTTTAAAATTGCATATACATCATAGTTTACAGGAACTTTACAGGACATTGCATTGTCACGTCAGCTTGATATATCTTGTTTGTTGAAGCTCTTACATTTTTGGTCGCATGATGGGGAATAGATCTTTACAGGAAGCACGAGAAATGAACAGCTGGTAAAATGTGACTGACTTGATACGAACATCAATAACATCATCAGACAAGTGATCACACTTGTTTTCCGCACTTTAAAGTTCAGCACGCCAAATAAAAATAGCGAGTTGCGCAGCTCTCGTTGTAACCTTTGTTGCCATAGTAATGATGGCTGAACCTGAATTCCCAACTTCCGTTTGACCTTAGGTATTTAGGGGCCTCTCAGTTTATGCTAATGAGCAGAGCCCACGGTCTACATTTAATTACGAAGGGGTCCTCATCTTTACGATAAGATGTTTTAAAAATTAATCGCGTTTTATTTCTTGTATTTTGTTTGAAACATCACCAAGGATTAGTGTGCTCAAATATAAGGTAAGTTTGGATAATTAATTATATACTTAAAATTTAAAGTCAGAGAAAAGTATATTAATGAATCAAAGGGTCGAAAAAATTCAATATCTGTTAAAAAATTAAGTCTTAACCTTCCACATAGGCAGAAAAGTCGCCCGCGAGTAAGCCTTATTTTCGCGCCAAATTCCCAGTAATTATTACATAATTAAAATATCGCATCTCTTGATATCCGCTCTCTGATATTAGTATTAGTTATTCATTGTCACTTAGGCCTTGATTCTAATTATAATTTTATTAGTTTTTTAAAAACTGGAAACGTTTTTGGATCTGCATTTTCCAATACAGTACAATTTACTAACTTTTAAAAGTATTAAGATCGTAGCGGATCGCTCTGTACTTTATCCAGTGACATGAATTCTAAACTGTTAGAAAGCAAAAAGGAACGGGGAGGGTAAGCGGGTGGAGGTGAGAAGTAGAGCCAATAAATCTGCCTGTGACTTTTAAACTTTTTTTTTCAGCACATGACTTGAGTCATTCGATACATATGTATGTGGTCCCAAACTAACCCCAGCACAGACGTCAAAATATGGTCCTCAACATGTGGTCAAAGTGTCTATGATTTCCCCCAGCTGGTCAGGGAACTGGTTAAGGAACTGGTCAGAGAGTTTGTCAGGCTACAGGTCAGGGAACTGGTTCGGGAACTGGTCAGGGAACTGGTCAGAGAGTTGGTCAGGCTACAAGTCAGGGAACTGGTTAAGGAACTGGTCAGGGAACTGGTCAGGTAACGGGTCAGGGTACTGGTCAGAGAGTTGGTCAGGCTACAGGTCAGGGAACTAGTTACGGAACTGTTCAGGGAACTGGTCAGAGAGATGGTCAGGCTACATGTCAGGGAACTGGTCAGGGAACTGGTCAGATAGTTACCAGGTGGGTTTATGTATCAATGTGTGGCGGGTGTGATGACGGTCATGTGGTCATCTGGTGTGTGATGACGGTCATGTGGTCATCTGGTGTGTGATGACGTTCATGTGGTCATCAGGTGTGTGATGACGTTCATGTGGTCATCCGGTGTGTGATGACGTTCATGTGGTCATCCGGTGTGTGATGACGTTCATGTGGTCATCAGGTGTGTGATGACGTTCATGTGGTCATCCGGTGTGTGATGACGGTCATGTGGTCATCAGGTGTGTGATGACGTTCATGTGGTCATCCGGTGTGTGATGACGGTCATGTGGTCATCCGGTGTGTGATGACGTTCATGTGGTCATCCGGTGTGTGATGACGGTCATGCGGTCATCGGGGAAGTCTCGTCTATCTAGATGTACGTTGTTATCAGCATCACCATCATGGTCTTCATGCAAGTCCACGTAATCATTTTCAACTGGCTCGTTAATATGAAATAAAGCGGGAGAGATCTCCCCTAAACTTTTCTCGAATGTTCTTCTATAAAACACTACGGGGGGGGGGGGGGCGGCAACTGGGGATAATCAATTAATGTTCGTTTTTTAAGAAATCGAAATAAGCGTGAAGTACTTCTTCTGGTCTACGGACAATTACTCAAAATTTGAAAGAATGCAGACAAAAAGAATTTGACAGAAGGAGGACAAAAAGAGCTTTTACTTATGTGTGAAATTTCGCCCATCTATCTGAAACAAAACTCAAGTTATAGGCTTTTGTAAAAGTAGAATAAATTCCACTTCCGGTTACCGGAAATCACTGAAAAGTTGATACAGAAATACACATTTGAAATAATACTTATGTATGAATCCTTCCGGTTTAAACATTATAGTATTCATAAACTACGTTTTAAGTTAATTAAGTGTGATGTGATTAACATATGGACACACAATGTAATTGACCTTGTTAGGATTACATGTTGTGTTTCTCTCTAAATACCCTGTCTGGCGTGGGGGAGGGGGGAGAGATAGGGCGTATTGATCTATCAAAGATTTAAAAATACTCATTATAAGACATTGAAAGCAAACGACGGGGGAGATGTTTTATTACCTTTCACGTAAACTTTGGTAAACAATAGCGATCTCCTAACATCAGATAAACTTATGGGACACTCAACAGCAGGTGAATAGAAAGACTGGGTGACGTCATCGTCATTGGGTTGTTGACCTCGTTCTGTATAGTCTGGGCCAAATAAGACCAATAACACCCAGGGCTGGGGTTGTAGGAGACAGTTTATGCTTTAACTGTATTGTGTTGTGTAGGGTAGAGAGTTTACATACCAGTACCTATTATTACTCACATTACTACTGGCTAGAATGGTTAGATGGATATAGACACAACTGACCGACATTTTATTTCTCTTAAAACATATTATACAACTTTGTTAAGGTTGCAAAAAAAAGAAGCAGCATATGTGATACATACGTTTTGTAGCAGGAAATTGTGTTGGTGATTGTGGAGGGGTGTGATGGTTAGAATTTGTAAAGTAGTTAGTGTTAAAAAATATAATATTATTGTTTTAATTAATATTAGAAAATAAAGAAGAAAATTAGTTTAATATATCGAGTTGTCTGCCCAGCAATTCTTCTTTTTAATATGAGATATTCACTATAAGACAAACATAGAGGTACACGACTAACTCATCAAATTGGTTTAACAAACCTTCATTCAACAAAAACTTTTTAACGTCCAGCAGATCAATGACATAATTGATCACAGTTTTGACTGCCTGGTTCAACGATCAATATTTATTTACTTATTTAAAAAAAGAATTATAGAACCAGGCGAGTTATGGGGCAGTGTTAGACAATTTCAGCAGCTTCGGCATATGAAGGGATAGTGTGGTCGCCACTATGCCTAACCGCCTTTACTTTCCCTATTAAGAATCAGGTACTCATCACAGCTGGGTGGATTCTACTGAAATGAACCTAGCACTCGAGACTTTCGTGTTACAAGCTGTCTACTCTACCATCTGACCACGCCGTTCCATTATACTAATTTAACCTAGGCAGTATTAGAAATTAAAAAACAAAATAAAGTGCCTGTTTGGAACATGTTCTTAAATTGACTTCAATAGCCTAAAATCCCATTAGTGCTGTACAAAAAGAACCATAAAAAACAACTCACACTTGGATCTCCAGAATTAAATCATTCAATAAAAACGGGGCGTGAACAAATAAAACTTTCAAACAGTTTTTTTTTTGTTCCTTGGCTATTGTTCAAGTCATTAACAGTCCTTACACGAACTCTTAAACCAGGTACACACTGACATAAATGTAGGTAGGTTACTGTGACATGAAGTAGGACAAACCAGGATATGAGTGACGCGGATTCTGTAGAAACTAGGTAACCAGGGCCCTACCCTATAAGAACTAGGTCACAAGGAACTAGGTGACCAGGCCCAGTATAAACTAGGTGACCAGGGCCACAAGGAACTAGGTGACTAGGGCCCTACCCTATAGGAACTAGGTCACAAGGAACTAGGTGACCAGGCCTAGTATAAACTAGGTGACCAGGGCCACAAGGAACTAGGTGACCAGGCCTAGTATAAACTAGGTGACCAGGGCCACAAGGAACTAGGTGACCAGGGCTACAAGGAACTAGGTGACCAGGGCCCTCTAGGAACTAGGTGACCTTGTCCCAGAAAGAACAAGGGGACCATGGCCACAAGGAACTAGGTGACCAGGGCCCAGTAAGAACTATATGACCAGGGCTACAAGGAACTAGACGGCCACAAGGAACTAGGTGACCAGGGCTACAAGGAACTAGACGGCCACAAGGAACTAGGTGACCAGTCCCTTGTAGGAACTAGGTGACCAGGGCCCTGTAGGAACTAGGTGACCAGGGCCACAAGTAACTAGGTGACCAGGGCCACAAGGAACTAGGTGACCAGGGCCACAAGGAAATAGGTGACCAGGGCCACAAGGAACTAGACAACCAGGACCTGAAGGAACTAGGTGACCAGGGCCACAAGGAACTAGGTGACCAGAGCCCAGTAAGAACAAGGTGACCAGGGCCACAAGGAACTAGGTGACCAGGGCCACAAGTAACTAGACAACCAGGACCTGTAGGAACTAGGTGACCAGGGCCCTGAAGGAACTAGGTGACCAGGGAACTGTAGGAACTATTTGACCCAGCCACAAGGAACTATATGACCAGGGCCCTATAAGAACTAGGTGAACAGTGCCCTGTAGGAACTAGTTGAACAGGGCCCAGTAAGAACAATGTGACCAGGGTCACTTGGAAGTAGTTGACCAGGGCCCTGTAGGAACTAGGTGACCAGGACCACAAGGAACTAGGTGAACAGGACCACAAGGAACTAGGTGAACAGGGCCACAAGGAACTAGATGAACAGGGCCACAAGGAACTAGGTGACCAGGACCACAATGAACTAGGTGACCAGGGCCACAAGGAACTAGATGAACAGGGCCACAAGGAACTAGGTGAACAGGGCCACAACTAACTAGGTGACCAGGGCCACAAGGAACTAGGTGACCAGGACCCAGTAAGAACTAGGTGACCATGGCCCAGTAAGAACTAGGTGACCAGGGCCACAAGGAACTAGGTGACCAGGGCTACAAGGAACTAGGTGACCAGGGCAACAAGGAACTAGGTGACCAGGGCCACAAGGAACTAGGTGACCAGGGCCACAAGGAACTAGGCAACCAGGGCCTGTAGGAACTAGGTGACCAGGGCCACAAGGAACTAGGTGACCAGGGCCACAAGGAACTAGGTGACCAGGGCCACAAGGAACTAGGTGACCAGGGCCACAAGGAACTATGTGACCAGGGCCACAAGGAACTAGGTGACCAGGGCCACAAGGAACTAGGTGACCAGGGCCTTGTAGGAACTAGGTGACCAGGGCCCAGTAAGAACTAGGTGACCATGGCCCAGTAAGAACTAGGTGACCAGGGCCACAAGGAACTAGGTGACCAGGGCCAAAAGGAACTAGGTGACCAGGGCCAAAAGGAACTAGGTGACCAGGGCTACAAGGAACTAGGTGACCAGGGCAACAAGGAACTAGGTGACCAGGGCCACAAGGAACTAGGTGACCAGGGCCACAAGGAACTATGTGACCAGGGCCACGAACTAGGTGACCAGTGCCACAAGGAACTAGGTTACCAGGGCCCAGTAAGAACTATGTGACCAGGGCCACAAGGAACTAGTTGACCAGGGGCCTGTAAGAACTAGGTGACCAGGGTCACAAGGAACTAGGTGACCAGGGCCACAAGGAACTAGGTGACCAGGGCCACAAGGAACTAGGTGACCAGGGCCACAAGGAACTAGTTGACCAGGGGCCTGTAAGAACTAGGTGACCAGGGCCACAAGGAACTAGGTGACCAGGGCCACAAGGAACTAGGTGACCAGGGCCTTGTAGGAACTAGGTGACCAGGGCCCAGTAGGAACTAGGTGACCATGGCCACAAGGAACTAGGTGACCAGGGCCAAAAGGAACTAGGTGACCAGGGCCAAAAGGAACTAGGTGACCAGGGCTACAAGGAACTAGGTGACCAGGGCAACAAGGAACTAGGTGACCAGGGCCACAAGGAACTAGGTGACCAGGGCCACAAGGAACTATGTGACCAGGGCCACAAGGAACTAGGTGACCAGGGCCACAAGGAACTAGGTGACCAGGGCCACAAGGAACTAGTTGACCAGGGGCCTGTAAGAACTAGGTGACCAGGGCCACAAGGAACTAGGTGACCAGGGCCAAAAGGAACTAGGTGACCAGGGCCAAAAGGAACTAGGTGACCAGGGCTACAAGGAACTAGGTGACCAGGGCAACAAGGAACTAGGTGACCAGGGCCACAAGGAACTAGGTGACCAGGGCCACAAGGAACTATGTGACCAGGGCCACGAACTAGGTGACCAGTGCCACAAGGAACTAGGTGACCAGGGCCCAGTAAGAACTATGTGACCAGGGCCACAAGGAACTAGTTGACCAGGGGCCTGTAAGAACTAGGTGACCAGGGTCACAAGGAACTAGGTGACCAGGGCCACAAGGAACTAGGTGACCAGGGCCACAAGGAACTAGGTGACCAGGGCCACAAGGAACTAGTTGACCAGGGGCCTGTAAGAACTAGGTGACCAGGGCCACAAGGAACTAGGTGACCAGGGCCACAAGGAACTAGGTGACCAGGGCCTTGTAGGAACTAGGTGACCAGGGCCCAGTAGGAACTAGGTGACCATGGCCACAAGGAACTAGGTGACCAGGGCCAAAAGGAACTAGGTGACCAGGGCCAAAAGGAACTAGGTGACCAGGGCTACAAGGAACTAGGTGACCAGGGCAACAAGGAACTAGGTGACCAGGGCCACAAGGAACTAGGTGACCAGGGCCACAAGGAACTATGTGACCAGGGCCACAAGGAACTAGGTGACCAGGGCCACAAGGAACTAGGTGACCAGGGCCTTGTAGGAACTAGGTGACCAGGGCCCAGTAGGAACTAGGTGACCAGGGCCACAAGGAACTAGGTGACCAGGGCCCAGTAAGAACTAGGTGACCAGGGCCACAAGGAACTAGGTGACCAGGGCCACAAGGAACTAGTTGACCAGGGGCCTGTAAGAACTAGGTGACCAGGGCCACAAGGAACTAGGTTACCATGGCCCAGTAAGAACTAGGTGACCAGGGCCTGTAGGAACTAGGTGACCTTGTAGTGAACATGGCCTTGTAGGAACGAAGTGATCTCGGCTACAAGAAACTAGATGACCAGGGCTGTGCAGTAAGAACTGGACTCAGATGAGCGCAACAGGATCAAAGTTACCTCAATAAATCCTCCATGCCCCACGAACTCGTCTGATTTCTACAGCGTGTTGTTACAATGTATATTTCAGTCACGGTATGGTTTTATCGCTCTCTGGTTCATACTAAGGGACCTTATCTGTTAAATCCAAAAAGGTTAACGAAATGGAAAATTATTCTCATTTGATAAACTATTTAGTTATTTAAATACAAAAGGTAGCTGCAGTGAGGTTAATTTAATTAGTAATAAAACAGATAGTATTAGTTACCTCACAAGTTAAAGACAGTTACAAATACTATTGACGTTTCGACCCAAGGTCTTCGTTACGGGACTTAAATTTGGCACACGGGCACCGGATGATTTAAACCGCGAGGTCCTCTCATCCGGCTCGTGGAGATCTTTTTGTCCACGGAAAAAAACGTTTGTTGGTGATGGCTGAGGAAGTTTGCCCAGAAAAATCACGACAAGCCTGGAAGAAACTGGCCCCCGAACTGAAATTTGATAGTTAATGCGGCCCTCGGACTGAAAAGTTTGGAGACCCCTGATTTAAACGAACAGGTTTCTTTCATCTAACCCACTCCATCCTCATACACCACGCCCCCAGCCTCACCTCTTTACGTCCAAGCGGTGTCTTTTGGGTATCGTGGAATTTAGACAAGACCTGTTTTCACTGTCGAGCTAAGGCCAAAACTGTGTTACTCTTTGTGTTTTCTGGCTAATCTGTAACCACACTGTTGTGAGCTGACGAAGACCTTGGGTCGAAACGTCCATAGTATTTCTGTCTTTAACTTGAGAGGTAACAAACACTAGCTGTTTTATTACTAGTTATTTAAATAACAAAATAATGTGCATAACTCAATTCGCGACTTATCTTTTTAAATTTACAAGTTATATCCCTTATATTGCAAAGTAATGTGGCTAATAATTTTTAATAAATGATTTTCTATAAATATAATTTATAATAACTAGCTGCATACCCGTACTCCACCACTGTGAATCATTTTTAAATGTACCAACTTGGGAGCAGAACAAAACTAAATACAAACGTCTAATTACAATATCATTTTTTTACTTTCTCGTATATCCGAGGTATAGAGAAAGTCTTGTAATCGTGCAAAAAATAAATAAATCGAGATTTTTATAAATCTCGACGTTTTACACATCACTGATACGGAAAAACATAATTTTGCAATCTTGTCCGTATGTCTGTGTGTCTGTCTGTGTGTGTGTGTCTGTCTGTGTGTAAACACGATAACTTGAGTACCGTTACAGCTAGGTTGATGAAATTTCATATATAAGGATTTTATCCAAATCGTAGATCCGTATCAACTTTTGAGCGATTTCCGATAACCGGAAGTGGTATTTTTTCTACTTTGAATTTTTCAAAAGCCTATAACTTGAGTACAATTTAGGATAGATAAATGAAATTTCACATGTAAGTAAAAGATCTAATTCTCTACCTTCTGTCAAATTTTGAGTAATTTCCGTTGACCGGAAGTACTAATTTACGCTATTTCCTATTTCTCAAAAAAAAAACGCATGTACATTTATAAAGTACTAATAATATTGCACACTATTATGCACATTTTGTTTTGTCGTTCGCTTGGTGTGCAATTCTTTTTTCTATGAGATTCTATTCTATTTTTAAAAGTTTAAGTAATTAAAAATCATGTCTATATTCCAAGTTATATAAGAATATTCGAGAAAGTTTAGGGGAGATCACTCCCGGTTTATTTAAACATTAAAATGCAAATGTGAAATTAAATGATGATTCAATGGATTTTTTTTACATCGGCGTGGTGGGCTGAGTGCTGAGGGGGGTTTGGGCTTTTAAGTACAGCATAAATAAATTAGGATTACAGAAAATTAAAATTATACAAATTTTAAGCAATCGGAATGTTATGCTGATTCTAATGAGATACATCAGATCAAACATTCTTCCCTTTCAAACATTCTTCCCTTTCAAACATTCTTCCCTTTCAAACATTCTTCCCTTTTAAACATTCTTCCCTTTCAAACATTTAATCTATAGTAGTGATACCACAGTTTTTTAAATGTATTTTTCATTTATTTTAAACATTGAAATAGTAATAATAATTTGTTTGGTAGTTTTACACAGCTTCAAAGACATGAACATCAATTGTATATAAAGTATTTAATGGAGAAAACTAAAATGGCATAAGAACTAGACTAAAATGTTGTGTGCAACTCGGTTTCTTTTGCGAGCTTAGTTTACTGTGCTCCATTCTGAGCTGCGAAGTCAAATGTTCTAACTGTAGCCACCCAAGGCCAGAAACAGAAACGACCGTGAAAGAATTTGTGTTTCTGTAATACTCATACTGATCTATCATTCCAAAATTTTTCTTGACACAAAATTGGCCCCTGACGATGGGGGTACGCTGCCCTTGATTTATCCGCCATTCCGGTTGGGTGGGGGGGGGGGGGGGAATGTCTGTGTACGTGTGAGGGGGGGGGGTTGATGTGTGTATCTCTTTTAATCATTCAGATTGTGCCCTTTTAAAACCTGAGAAACCTAAAACTATTCTAACGTTAATTTACTCGAGGGCTGATCGAGTGATGTTTGGCTTGAGACTGTCTTGATTAAAATTAATACTTTATATTTTTTCTATACATTTTTTACAAAAATTTCTAAACATTTTTTTATTTTTACATAGGTGAGAGTTCCCAGTCTGTCTTAGCTGTGCTTGAAATATTTCTTTCAACTCGATTTCAGAGTATTTTGCTAAATAAAGCCTGATCTTATTCCTTTATTCCCATACGAGCCGACCCGCTGCGTATCATACGCCGCTATTTAGTTGTTTTTTTTTCTACTTTTCAATAATTTATAATTTGTGAATTCGACAGTACCAATGCTGCCACTGAAAATATTTGCTTAAAAACACTAACCCCCCCCCCCCCCCCCCCACGTGAAAGCAGCCTCCTCTTAGTTACCTCCTCTAAGTTTAAAATCGTTTCAAACTAAATTATCTGCCCCTAATAGCCGTCACCAAGCCCGTCTCTATGATTGTAAAATGTAAACAGAGTGAACACCGCTCACCAGATCATGTGGGGGTGGGGGTGGTAGTGATAGACCGATAGTGATAGAGAGGAAGAGAGGGGACTGCAAAGGCGCGCTTGCAGCTTGTTTTCTAACTGATCCCAGAAGAGAATTATATAATACGAGCCGACCCGCGGCGTATCATACGCCGCTATTTAGTTGATTTATTTTCTACTTTTCAGTAATTCATAATTTGTGAATTCGACAGTACCAATGCTGCCACTGAAAATATTTGCTTTAAAACACTAACCCCCTCCTTTCCCCTAACCCCGACCCCCCCCCCCCCCCCCCCCCCGTGAAAGCAGCCTCCTCTTAGTTACCTCCTGTAAGTTTAAAGTCGGTTCAAACTAAATTATCTGCCCCTAATAGCCGTCACTAAACCTGGCCGTACGGTTTGTAAACATTAACGTGACTACAGCTCAGCAGACAATGTGGGGGTGGGGTGGGGTGGTATAGAGAAAGAGAGGGGACTGTAAGGAGGCGCTTGCAGCTTGTTTTCTAACGGCTCGCAGAGGAGAATTATATATATAGATAGATATTATATAGATAGTCGATCTATAAATAGCCGTTGCTATTAGTCTGTTTTCGTCTTCCGTTCTTTAAGTCGTGTTAATTAAGTTAAGTATGATTGCTTTATTTGTTGTGGCTGTTTGATTTGTGGTTTTTAATAATTTTCCAAGTTTTTGCTTTGTTTCTGTACTAATATACAATCTAAATAAATGTTTTTCCCAGTTTCCTGTATATATTGTGTGTGTGTTTGTGTGTTTGTGTGTTTGTGTGTTTGTGTGTTTGTGTGTGTGTGTGTGTGTGTGTGTGTTTGTGTGTTTGTGTGTTTGTGTGTTTGTGTGTTTGTGTGTGTGTGTGTGTGTGTGTGTGTGTGTGTGCGTTTTTCTTTTACAAACGATTAGTAAAGGCAGAAATACATATTCCTAATCTGAGTTTATAGGGTAGTTAAAAATATAATTGGTCGAAGGCTATACACCCTCTTTCCATAGTATACCTGAAACTTCAAGCAGGAATGCACACCAAGTGTCGACTTCATTGTCTCAACCCAAACTGTGCTACAATATTTTACATGCGCGTGTTTGCACCGCGACAAAACGTCGAAAAAACAACCTTGAGTGTAAAAACTTGATCTTGATTGCTGTAGTCAAACAGATGGAGACAAGACATGGAGCTAGTCAAAGTTGTATTAACATTACTTGCTTGCTGGTCAGTCGCGGCACAATGTAAGTAGTGAACTAGCCAGACTCAGTGGTTCTTTCAGGCACACCCCACCCATCAGAAGCCAGACTCACTGGTTCTTTCAGGCACACCCCACCCACCAGAAGCCAGACTCAGTGGTTCTTTCAGCACACCCCACCCACCAGAAGCCAGTGGTTCTTTCAGCACACCCCACCCACCAGAAGCCAGTGGTTCTTTCAGCACACCCCACCCACCAGAAGCCAGTGGTTCTTTCAGGCACACCCCACCCACCAGAAGCCAGACTCAGTGGTTCTTTCAGGCACACCCCACCCACCAGAAGCCACTGGTTCTTTCAGCACACCCCACCCACCAGAAGCCAGTGGTTCTTTCAGCACACCCCACCCACCAGAAGCCAGACTCAGTGGTTCTTTCAGCACACCCCACCCACCAGAAGCCAGTGGTTCTTTCAGCACACCCCACCCACCAGAAGCCAGTGGTTCTTTCAGCACACCCCACCCACCAGAAGCCAGTGGTTCTTTCAGGCACACCCCACCCACCAGAAGCCAGACTCAGTGGTTCTTTCAGCACACCCCACCCACCAGAAGCCACTGGTTCTTTCAGCACACCCCACCCACCAGAAGCCAGTGGTTCTTTCAGCACACCCCACCCACCAGAAGCCAGAGTCATTGGTTCTTTCAGCACACCCCACCCACCAGAAGCCAGACTCATTGGTTCTTTCAGCACACGAAGGAACCATTAGCTATGGTTTGGCAAAAAGAGATGTTGGAGAAATGAAAAGAAGACTGGAGCAACACAAACGACAGTCGCTTCAACTTTCGCAGATTATGTTTTGCACGTTTTACCAAAGAAAACTACTTTATCAAGAGCATTGAGAAAGCACAGGAAACATTTATAAAATCGTATTAATTGTATCATAAATTTAAATCAAATAACAGTTTATAATTTATATTTTAAAATCTATATATTATGGTTAACCGCCTTCTGTGGTCAAACCCCCGTTGTGATCAAAGCTCCGCTGTGGTCAAAGCCCCTATGGTCAAAGCACCTGTGGTCAAAGGCCCGTTGTGGTCAAAACCCTTATGGTCAAAGCACCTGTGGTCAAAGCACCTGTGGTCAAAGCACCTGTGGTCAAAGCACCTGTGGTCAAAGCACCTGTGGTCAAAGCACCTGTGGTCAAAGCACCTGTGGTCAAAGCACCTGTGGTCAAAGCACCAAGGAACCTATTCAGCGCCGAATCTTCAAAAATATTTCATTCAGATGCGTTTGAGACTAACATTATCGGAAGTGGAAGAAATTATATTTATATTTAATATCAAACATATCTGTTTTGTCAGATCCGTACAGTCGGATCGTTGAACCAAGTGTGCTGACTGAGGGTGGGGACTACACCGTGTCGTGTAACTCTGATCTCGCCGGAGTGCCAGGCAAGGGACAGAACCTAGGCTTGTTATCTATGTCGATCGGATGGACGAATGAAATAGATGAGATGGAAACGTTTGTAAGATACATGGCTATCACCAAGGAGAAATATTACGTAAGTTGACGTCTAGATTACTACTAATGGGGAAAACACACATTTGAGATGTAAATAATTAATAGGCACTTATAACTACGTATAAAACAATATATATATATATATATATATATATATATATATATATATATATATATATATTCAAAGGGTTCAAAGGGTTACATGAACTACAGCTAAGGAAACAAATTAAAAACAAGATGACAAACTTGCACAACTTTCAAATGCTGAAAAACACGAACACATTCTGTATACTGACGCATGTATACAGCATTCATATAATATAGTTATTTAACCTGACCCACACACACATGTTGGCCTATACTGTCACACGTAAAGTTTCCTACAAGCGTTACCCCTATCCAGCTACTTACCTGATGTCATCATCCTTCCTTTGTGGCCCCTGGGGAGCAAAGGGCTGCAACCACATATCTCCAGTGGACTCGGTTTTGGGCTGCTCCCCTAATCTGTGCCCATGTGAGCCCAGCTGTTTTCGCCTCTTCTCCAACCGTTCTTTTCCATGTTTTCTTTGGCCGGCCCACTTTCCTTTTTTACTGGGGATTCCAGTCCATAGCATGTTTTGCGATGGTTTTTTTCTCTCTTCTTAATGTGTGTTCGATCCATCCCCATTTGCGGGCCTTGATATTGGCTGTTGCTTTAAAATTTGCCACAGGTCTTTGTTTGATATTTTGTCTGGCCATCTTATTTTAAGTATATGTCGTAAGCATTTGTTTACAAATGCCTGTATCTTATCAGTATTTGTCTTCGTAACCCTCCAAGTGTCCGAGCCATAGAGCAGCACTGCCGTGCACCTCCACATCGGGCGCAGTGAGTTGAAGGCACATCTAGACTTGTTGATACGGCATTTTATGTCCTCACTTACCTGATGTACTGCTTTTTATTGAATGGAAAACCATAATACCTGTTTAGTAAATCAAATCCAAATGGCATATTTTATAAATAGACACGTGCGATGTACAATATTTATAGTTTCCCGTCTCAGATATATTGAATTTTTTTTAATAATAACAAAAAGTTTAGTAATCCTTAGCACTTCGAAATAAATTAAATGTATTTAAAGAGCCCTAATAATAAATGATTTATGAGATTTTACAAAATTAACATAACAATCTGAGGATTTTTTTAACACAACCATATATTTGCAACGTTTTTTTTAAGTTATTTTAACAACATGCATTTTAAAAAAGTTTCTGAAAATCAATATATGACTTTTAGATATAATCGTTAATATAAATATATACTGTGCAAATGTAAACAGTGCAGATTTGTTGTACGGTGTTTAATCAGTAAATCTCTATTGTTCGCTTATAGTTTTTGCTGTATTTTAAAATTATTGAATATAGATGGGTATGTCATCCATTTCTTATGTAGCGTACAGAAAACAACATATATGAAACAAATATGAGGTTCTGGACCTATCAAATGAGAGGTCCAGACAGAGTGAATTCCCATGGTTGGCCCGATAGAGATGCAATCAATATGACACTGTCATCGAAAAATGCGAAATGGCAAGAGTCTGGTATATTTTGTTGCAACACTTCCTACCTGGATATGAATGATGATATTCGACATGCATCTAGATGCAAGAAGATTAGGGGTAAGTTGTTGTTGTTCATTGTCACATTAATTACTACAACCCAGTATAACAAGGGTCTCTTTATGAACTGTTTAGTACCATATAAGTTAAAACAAATTTTGTAGAATGCTGGTTTGTCATTTGAATTAGATTGATCTCTACCAGGCTATCTTCTGAGGCCGTTACTTGCTACACCAAGGATTCACACAGGAAACAAAAGAAAAACTACACCTATCTGAACGATAACATTGTAACCATAGCCATCTGAATGATAACATTGTAACCATAGCCATCTAAACAATAACATTGTAACCATAGCCATCTGAACGATAACATTGTAACCATAGCCATCTGAACGATAACATTGTAACCATAGCCATCTGAAGAATAACATTTCAACTATTGCCACCTGAACAATCTTAATATATAAAAGCCCATGTGCGCACTACTCTCTCCCTCTCTCTCTCTCTCTCTCCCTCTCTCTCTCTCTCTCTCTCTCTCTCTCTCTGTCCGCAAAATATTTACTATAGACATCTCAATAATAAGATTTAAACGATAACCTAACAATAACGTTCATAGGCGTAGCAAGGGCAGGGTGGGGGAGCGGACTGCACTGATTAACACCATTTAGGAGGGGGGTGATACCATAGCAAAAAATTGCAAAATGTACAGAAGAAAAATGCTTTTTGTCAGTGTCATTAATGATTAATTATGCGGCATATATTTAAATTGTAAAAATATCAGTGGTATCGCTAGGTCGGGTGTCAACCGTGGTGTCAACCCCCCCATTAGAAAGAAAGTATATATATATATATATATATATATATATATATATATATATATATATATATATATATATATATATATACTTTCTTTCTAGCGACACCACTGATAACCTTAAAACTATAGCCATCTCAATACTAACATTTTAACTATAGCTTTTTGAACGATAACATCTCAACAATAACAATAAAACTATAGTTATCTAAAGACGACATAAACTTGAAATTGGTAGCAAAATGTCGTAAACACTTTATGATTGAAATAGCGAGACGTGTACAAATGAAAGAATATATCAAAGTTACTGTTTTGAAATCTAATTTTCCAGTGACCCACAATATCATAGTGAATAAACCAGAAGCGAAAGTAGAGGGAGCCTTCACTGTGACATGTGACTCTAATTTGGCTGGCGTGCCGGCACAAACCTATGGCTTGTATTATTTGGCCATCTTGTTCATGTATCAGGGGGAAGAAAGATTGTACGCCAGATTAGGCCTGGGTTCCTATCCTCTCAAAGTTAGGGTAAGTTTGTTTCGTGTCAAGGTAAAGTTACGGTTAGGTTTTTTTAGTTTAAACTCTAAACTTGTTACATCGTTGCTTGAGCTTGGTTTAGAGACCAGCTGTTCCAAGGTTCTGGCTCTGCAAAAGTTTTCTGAGATAAATATTTTTTAGAGACTTCCAGACTACATGTCCTCCAATGTCTATTCTTATATTTTACGTACACGCTTACATAAATTAGATGACATGACATATATTCAAAGACCAAATACACGCTTACATAAATTAGATGACATGACATATATTCAGACCAAATACACGCTTACATAAATTAGATGACATGACATATATTCAAAGACGAAATACACGCTTACATAAATTAGATGACATGACATATATTCAAAGACGAAATACACGCTTACATAAATTAGATGACATGACATATATTCAAAGACGAAATACACGCTTACATAAATTAGATGACATGACATATATTCAAAGACGAAATACACGCTTACATAAATTAGATGACATGACATGTATCCCAAGATCAAATATTTCCAACCAAACAGTTTTGGAGGTATCATAAGTGTATTCACCGACCACCGCCAGTTTCTAAGGAGCATTCACCGAACCCGATCAGTATCATACGAGCATTCACCGAACCCCACAAGTATCATATGAGCATTTACCGAACCCTTCTCAATAATTCAAAACGAACGTGAATTAAATGAGTCTGATGTGTGTCCGTCAAACATCTGAGACAGCTTCAACGAATCCCTGGGGTTCGAACCCAGGTTAAGAATAACTGGTCTAGTAGTACTACTAGTATTATTTTTTTCGTATTACAAAAGTGTAATTAATAAGCAATAATAAATATAGAAAAGTTAATTTCAACACTTAATAAACGCAAACTACTTTCGTTACAACTAATTTCTGGCAATAACTAAAAACATATTTTTTTCTTCCATGCTACTTTCATAGAGGCCGCCATCGCCACTGAGGAACTGGACGTTTAATTTCTATGGGGTAGAAACTTTGGACGCACACGGTCGACTGGAACGGGACAAAGCAAAAACAGAACTGGTGATCAGGGATACAAAGTATTCAGACTCGGGCATGTATTGTTGCGAGGCAGCATATTTCACTCTTTATACTGACGACGAGCAAGATGTCAAGCGTTGTCAGAACATTACAGGTGTGTTATGCAGTGTTTTATTTTAAATAATCATCTCGCTATTCTCATCGTCTGCTTCTCTTTTTGTCAGTTGTTCTGTGAAGGTGAAATATAACACATGTGTTTTATTACACATAACACACCTACGTTGCTACTGTCTACGCTTTGTTCTCGCAGTCTTTGGCCAGCCGTGGTTGTCCTGTTTGTTTGAAATCATTCGGTACATCTCTTGTTTAACTCAGAAAATAACCTAAACATTCATTGAAACAGTTGCCACAACTTTCAGCGAAATGTATTGTTTTAGGTCAGTTTTGAAAATATTTTTTAACAACAGGCCAGTATTATTTTCGAGCGATAAAAATGAGCATGTTAGTGCGTGTATAATAGGGATAGTACTACTAAGACACCCTACTAATTTCGGAAATTTTTTATTAAGCTGTGAAATATTAATTAGGCATCCAATGAAGTTAAATCTGATGTCAGTTTGCATTGTCTTCAAGTCTAGACCCACGTTCCTACTTTGAAACGAATTAATCAGTTAGAAGTGCTCGAAATTTCGTTCACCTGTTTTGGTCTATTACGACATGCGACAGGACGACATGAAGAAGAAACAAGTTCAACAAAAACTTGTAAAAATGAAATTAGTTTATAAACGCATTCACACTCAAAACACGTAAATATTAAATTGCTCAATACGAAAAAGGTATTCATTATACAAATTTAAAAATAAGTAATTATTTTGTATCAAACAAATCTAATTCTTGTAATACTTAAATCTATTCCTAAGCACAAAAAATGCTTAAAGTTGTTTATCTAAACATACCTTTTTACCTGAGCATAATTTTGTTTACCTAAACATAAATTTTTATCTAAACTGAAACTTAAAACATAATATTATCTCATCAACTTTACCGTCAATTATACCATAAACCCACGGGAAAAGTAAGTGTGTGTATGGGGGAGTGGGGGGGGGGGGTATGTTGCCGGACAATGTTTTAATTTTTAAATACCTTTTTGTCAGCTTTTATAATCTTCTGCTGTTTGAAGTAATTCTACAAAGGCCAACCTTTTTGTCGGCTTTTATAATCTTCTGCTGTTTGAAGTAATTTTACAACGGCCAACCTTTTTGTCAGCTTTTATAATCTTCTGCTGTTTGAAGTAATTCTACAACCGCCAACCTTTTTGTCAGCTTTTATAATCTTCTGCTGTTTGAAGTAATTCTACAACGGCCAACCCAGTCCATTCCTTGAATTCCTGTGTTACATCCCTTCCCTTCATCCCCCAACAACATGGTTCCTTGTTTAAGTGTTTATTATAGAACTGTAAAAAAAAATTATTCATTTATAATTGTATATTAAACACTGGATGAGAGGATGTTGATGTAATACACAAGGTTGCAATAAATAAAAATTCTAAAATGAAAATATACTTTTCTAGTCACCCATAGAGAGATTGTAGAGCCGAAAGCAGTTTCTGTTGGTGAACCCTTCTCAGTATTCTGTGATGCCGACTTGGCTGACGTGCCCGATTTGATCTATGGCGTACGACAATTTGTGTTGATGTGGTCATCTGGTACAGAAAACCCTGAAGCAAGAGCTTTCATGAACAGTAGATTGCTAAAATCGGTTCTGGTAAGTGCTTTATTGTGTTTAAATTATGGAATGTTAAATGTTTGCTTGGAGAAGTCCTGCGACCTAATGACACGTTTGGGCAACAAACAAACTGAAATTCAAGGGGCTCAACAAATTGATGACTTTAATTACTCAGATCTACTCTGCCATATGATACACAGCCCACTGTACATGTTGAAATCCAGTAAAACCTGCCTAATGACATTGATACAGACAATGGCGTTCAGATTAAAATCAACAACGACAAAATGCTTTTTTTTTTACAAAGCCCATGTTAAATTCAACTGCCATTTTAAACAAACTAACTCAGAATTTTAGCTCAAACGTTAAATATGTAAGGGCTTCTGGTTTTCTTTTTTTTTTTTTTTTGCTTCGACTCCTTTATCTTTCAAATTTGGCGCCTCTTTTGCTCTTTTCACTCCCCCTACACCGAAAACCTGGATGCGCTTCTGCTTCATCTAAACTTTTAAATCTGAAAAAAAATCAGTAGAAGGAAGATTCATTTTAGTTACTTTGCATACATTGAAAGTGAATTGATCAAGTTTCAGACGCGCATTGAGCTTTGAACTTTTGTTGCCGCAGTACAAAACCCCAAGCCACTGGAGTGTGAGCTTCAGGGGAGCTGACAAAGGCGTCCTTCCCCCGTTGAACCAACCGGGAGCAGGGAAAATGAACCATGCCCAGTTGTACGAGAGGAACCAACCGAAAATTACACTGACGGTGAGAGCAGCACAACCCTCAGACGCCGGCATATATTGCTGTGATGTATGGTACAATTATGTCACCGGGGATACAAGGTATTATGGTGCTCAACGTGATGGCCAAAATAAAAAATGTCAGAACCTTAAAGGTAAGATGTTTCATTTTCTTTCATTTGCTTTAAGTTTAAAGAAATAAATAGTGTTACTTTTTTAGGCTAGGGCTAGATGTAGATTCCACTAGATATTTATACGTTTATCTTTGTGAGCCACCCTTTAAATCTAGGTATTCTTTAAGTGAAGTATGTTCAATAATTGTTCATTCAAATTTATTCGTGCGCGCTGTAATTAAAATACATGCATTTAATTTCTTTAAAAAATTGCAAGCTGAAGTTTTTTTTTAATCCTTTGAAGGCGACATTTAAAAAAAAACAACTTTTAATACAATAGTAATGATGGAAACCATTTCCTTAAACTTGTTTGTGTCTTTTATTCTAAATTATAAATAGTTTCAGCTTACGCGGATATACTCGCATAATGTGGAGGGGAGGGTGGCGCTATTATATATTGTAACATTTACTCAATATCCCTCTTGAAGCTTACAAATTCTAATATATCTTGAACCAACAAACGTTAAGAACCGAACAAAAGTTAAATAATGTGTACACTGGAAAGGATTTGTAAACGTTTATTTAGACTCATCTATCGCTAAAATTTTCCCCATTATTTCCCTAAACCTGTAGGACTACTTATTACATAACGTGTTTAATTATTATAATAAACTTGCTCAATTTTCTTTTCAGTTTCATTAAACTTTAAAGGTTTTAAAAATATTTCAATGAATCTAAAGGTTATTTTTAGTTATGACAGAATAACAGCTGATCAGTGAACTGGCGTTTGAAAGTATATACCCTCGTGTAAATTAATTGCATTCAATCATTTAATCCGTTTCAGTCGGCCAGAATACGAAACTCTCAAGAAATGGATGTTCTAGTGTGGACATTTCAGCTGGTCTTTTTGTTGGTCTACTGACATTACTCGTGTAAATTGGATGTATTATTTGGTCTGCTTATGTTGTGAGTTGGATTTTTTAGTTGGTCTATTGACATTACTTGTGTAAGTCGGATGTGTTAGTTGGTCGACTGATGTTGTAATTTGGATGTGTTAGTTTCTCTATTGACATTACTTGTGTAAGTTGGATGTGTTAGTTGGTCTACTGATATTGTAAGTTGGATGTGTTAGTTGGTCTACTGATGTTGTAAGTTGATGTGTTAGTTGGTCTAGTGACGTTGTAAGTTGGATGTGTTAGTTGGTCTACTGACATTACTTGTGTAATTTGGATGTGTTAGTTGGTCTACTGATGTTGTAAGTTGGATGTGTTAGTTTCTCTATTGACATTACTTGTGTAAGTTTGATGTGTTAGTTGGTCTACTGATGTTGTAAATTGGATGTGTTAGTTGGTCTACTGACATTACTTGTGTAAGTTTGATGTATTAGTTGGTCTACTGATGTTGTAATTTGGATGTGTTAGTTGGTCTACTGATGTTGTAAGTTGGCTGTGTTAGTTTCTCTATTGACATTACTTGTATAAGTTGGATGTGTTAGTTGGTCTACTGATGTTGTAAGTTGGATGTGTTAGTTGGTCTACTGATGTTGTAATTTGGATGTGTTAGTTGGTCTACTGATGTTGTAATTTGGATGTGTTAGTTGGTCTACTGATGTTGTAAGTTGGATGTGTTAGTTTCTCTATTGACATTACTTGTGTAAGTTGGATGTGTTAGTTGGTCTACTGATGTTGTAAGTTGGATGTGTTAGTTGGTCTACTGATGTTGTAATTTGGATGTGTTAGTTGGTCTACTGATTTTGTAAGTTGGATGTGTTAGTTGGTCTACTGACATTACTTGTGTAAGTTGGATGTGTTAGTTGGTCTAGTGACGTTGTAAGTTGGATGTGTTAGTTGGTCTACTGACATTACTTGTGTAATTTGGATGTGTTAGTTGGTCTACTGATGTTGTAATTTGGATGTGTTCATTGGTCTACTGATGTTGTAAGTTGGATGTGTTAGTTTCTCTACTGACATTACTTGTGTAAGTTGGATGTGTTAGTTGGTCTAGTGACGTTGTAAGTTGGATGTGTTAGTTGGTCTACTGACATTACTTGTGTAATTTGGATGTGTTAGTTGGTCTACTGACATTACTTGTGTAAGTTTGATGTGTTAGTTGGTCTACTGATGTTGTAAGTTGGTCTAAACCAGAGGTCTCCAAACGTTTCAGCCCGAGGGCCGCATTAACTATCAAATATCAGTTCAGGGGCCAGTTTCTCAGGCATCTATTTGGGTTGCGCGGAGCCCCCCCCCCCTCCGAAAAACGTCAACTACCCCCCCCCCCCCCCCAACGAAATATACTTTACATAGAAATATATACAAATTTCAACACAATCGAGGTCCAGGATTGCTCTCAAAATGTTCTTCACGTATTTTAATTTAGAAAATGTTTGTTCACACAAGTATTTTGTTCCAAAATTTAAAAGGTACTTTTTAAATTTTAATATTAGGAAAGTCTTTCATGGGCTAAAACTTATATGAAGATTTTGCACTGCTGAAAGTGGTTGGTCTTTACTTGTTCACTAAACATGACAAGTTTGGATCTGAAGGCCTTAAGGTGGGTGTATAGATCAGAAACTAGATCTCTCTTGGAGTTTTAGATTCAGAAAAATAAAAATGACTAGTTAAGTCTGCATTAGAGGCCAATTTCTGTACCCACTCTTCATCAGACATTAATGGCTGTGGCTTGCCTTTACTATCCATGAAGTAAAATATTTTCTTACTTAACTTAAATACTCTGCGTAGAGCTTTTTCACAATTAGCCATCTTACTGTTGTGTAATATGGTAAATCTTGCGATTCCGTGTTTGTTTTTTTTGACACGTCTTTTAGCGTTCTGTGGTTGAGCCGATGTGGCAGAATGAAATTCACTATCTTTACCATAGATAGGATTCAGTACACTGTTAATGTCCAAAGCTTGCTGATGAATAATACAGTGCAGGAACATTGGTTGTAGAATGTTTTTCTCATTCGCTTTTTAAACCAAGCCTTTCTTTGTGCCACTTTTGTACTTTCCTCCATCAACTGTCTGGCAACTGAGGTTAGTCCAGTCCAAGTTACAATCAGCAGATTTTTTTAACTCATGGAATATATCCTCTCCAGTAATAGTGCCATACATGTTGTGTAGGGAAGCCAGTTCTTGTGTTATGTTCATGTCTACATCCACACCTCTAATGAACACAAGCAGTTGAGGGGTAGAACAGCTGTCCAGCGACACATCCATTGCAATTGAAAAATGGCGAAACTTGATGCATTTTTCACGATTGAGCCACGAAGGCGGGCAATGGTATTTGCACTGAAAGCTGTGTTTTCAAATTGTTTTCAATTTTCTGGGCAAAGTTCCTCAGCCATCTCCAACAAACAAAAAAAATCGCCGCGGGCCGGATGAGAGGTCATCACGAGCCGCATCCGACCCGCGGGCCGTAGATGGAGAAACCTGGTCTAAACTGACATTACTTTTGATCTACTGACAATGCTTATGTGAGTTTACGTTTTGTATATGTTTGATGTTGTATTGAGTTCAGAATGGAGCTCAATTGAGTTTAGTTGACGTTCATATTATAATGTTTGCTGTTTATGTGGAGGGGTAGGGGTATGCGAGGTTATTTGAGACTCTGTACGCCGTGACATCGACTGATTTCATGATCAATATAAATGTCTCATTTATTTTAGCGGAACAAAACAACCTTGCCACAACAACAATTCCAAACAAAAACAATAATAGAAACATAAACTTAAATACAAGCATAACTCTATCGCTATCCCTATAACTATCCCTATAATTATCCATATCACTATTTACATCCATTTCCTTACACCTACTCTAACACGTATCATTAGCCTTAGCTTTATTCCTATAGCTATAGCCATCCGTTCCTTAAACATATCCTTTTCCTTATCACTGTCCCTTTCCCATTTCGTTTTTGCTATTGCAATACTTATCGAGTACATATATTTTTCGCTATCACTATCTTAATCATAACGGTTTCCCTATTACTCTCCCTATACACTTTTATATTCCATATCGCAATTCTTATTTTTACCTATTCCTCTACCTGTATCGGAACGTATTCTATACTGGCATTAATATATATTATATTACTAACCTATTCCTAACTTATCAATAAGAAATCCATACCTTATCTCTGTATCTAAATGAACGTTGGATAATTGAATAGTAAGATGTTCACGTATTGTAACCTTTAATAAAATATCTATAATATTTTTCAGATAATTAAGGAATTTGAAAATATATCTCAATTATTTCACGTGAACATCTGAAAACGAGAGACGTTACCAAATATTGGAAAGTTTATCTCGTCAAAAAAAGGAAGCAACAATATTTTATTTGGATGAAATTTATTCCACTACCCGCAATAAAAATGTTTGAACGTTTCATTTGCCGTTATGTAATTTTTTGTCACACAACTACACACCAATTAAACACGTTTTAGTTACGTAGACAAAATTTCATCTACAATTTTAAAATCTTATGTCTAGAACAGTATTAGTTTTTGAGTGACCTTGAATATTCGTACGTGGTAAAATTTACTGTTTTTCTTGTTTCTAAAAATAATAAAATACCAAACAACTTGATTGCTGTTTCATTTAACTATGCGAAATTGTATACATAAGTATGTGATCTTAATAGCTGTTTTTATCAAGTATTTGAGTAATTAGTTATAGTCTCCTTCGTAATTGATAGTGCTGCCTAAATATATAAAATATTTTAATTCCTCTATTTGTTTGATGTTTATCGTCAGGGGCGTAGCGAGGGGGGGGGGGGGGGGCGAGGGTTGCGAATCGCACCGGGTGACACCATTTAGGGGGGTGACACCAAGGTAAAAAATAGCAAAATATATAGAGAAAAACTTGAGGGGGGGTGCAAATTGAAAGTTTGGGGGGGGGGGGGGGTGCAAATCGAAAACTTGAGGGGGGGTGCAAATCGAAAGTTTGAGGGGGGGCGCAAATCGAAAACTTGAGGGGGGGTGCAAATCGAAAGTTTGAGGGGGGGGGGTGCAAATCGAAAACTTGAAAGTTTGTCCCCGGGAAGGGTCGCAACGCCTCTGGGGGGTGACACCATTAAGTGCCGCACCGGGTAACACCCGACCTCGCTACGCCACTGTTTATCGTAATAGGTCAATCAATTACTAAGTTAAAATCAGTGGGGACAGAACGCACACTTGTTTGACTTTAATTTACTATTCATCTGGGGCTTTTTCATTGTTCCAGATTTCTTACAAAATATTACAGATGATTTTAAATGTCTTTGGCTTCTGCTTTAAGCATTTCTGCACTTACTAACACGTATCAGAAGAGCAGGTGCAGATTGTACTTGCATTTGTATATGTAACTGGAGCCTGTCTCAGTTTTGATGACCACTTCTGTTTGACTTGGTGGTAGATAAAAGTGTTGGTCTTGAGATAGTCTGTTTAGAATTCCCTCCAACTCACGATTTTTTCTTATTTGAATATTATATCCTTTTTTTCGCCAAAAGAAATAAATGTGAGTTTAGCACTTTGCCTAGCTGCGTCTATTTTCCCTAACATGAGTTACGTAGCCATCAGAGCAGAGTGGACTCGGGGACGTTCTATTGACTTGGACCCATGTTCGAACTCGAGACTTTCTGGTTAGCAGCCTAGCGCTCTACCAATCTCATTTAGGCCAAGCCGCCCCAGTGTGTATAACGCGTGATATGCTTCCTAAATTTTTGCAAAAGTATTCAATAGATAATATAGTGACACACGCTTTTTTTATAGTTATTTTAATAGTAGTGCATGATTATATATTAAAAGAAAATCATTTGTTTAGTGAAAATTTATATAACAGCTTGTTACTAAAACTCGGTAATAAGCTTTTTTTTTTAAAACTTCCTTCCACTGTCTTTCTGTCTGTCTGTCTGTCTATCTGTATTTCTGAGCGAAATTCAAAATTGTCATGTGGGTCAAAACCTGATGACAATGCAAATTTGACAAATTGGATGCTTAGTTGATTTTTTATGAATTAATATTCACTAAGAAAAATAGGTGGAGGAGGGGGGGTGGAAAGCATAACAAAATAAACTATTAGCCAAAAGGAATAGAACCCTTGGCTCGAATAATACCAGCACGAAGCTCAAATATTTCGGTGTTGAACAGTTAACAAGACCTGATGACAATGCAATTTGACATCAAATTTGACAAATTGGATGCTTAGTTGATTTTTAAAGATTTTATATTTACTAAGAAAAATAGGGGGGGAGCATTTCAAAAAATGAGCCAAAAGGTATAGAACCTACTATAAAGAACTAGCTGCACTGCATGAAGCTCAAATATTTCGGTATTAAACAGTTAACAGCTGAATTCATACAGAAGATAATAAAAATAACTATGCATGCATATAAAAGAAGGTAAATTTTTAAAAATATTATGATTGTTCAGCTTAAAATATCTAACTACGAATAGTGTTCGAAGGCTATACACTCTCTTTCTTTAGTATAGCTTGAAGCAGAAATGCACACCGAATTCATTGTCTCAATCCAAAACGTGCTACATTTTTATATCTGCGCGTGTTTGCATCGCGACAGGACGATGAAAAAAGCACTCCAATCTAATATTAGTTTAACAACTTGGTCTAGATCTAGATCTAAATTGATTAAGTCAACAGATCGAGACAAGCCATGGAGCTAGTCAAAGTTGTATTAACATTACTTGCTTGCTGGTCAGTTGCGGCACAATGTAAGTAGTGGGCTAGCCAGACTCAGTGGTTCTTTCAGGCACACCCCACCCACCAGAAGCCAGTGGTTCTTTCAGCACACCCCACCCACCAGAAGGCAGTGGTTCTTTCAGAAACACCCCACCCACCAGAAGCCAGTGGTTCTTTCAGAAACACCCCACCCACCAGAAGCCAGACACACAGGTTCTTTCAGGCACACCCTCCCGAAGCACAACTACCGCTCTCTTTATATAGAAAATTTATACTTTTACCAGTGTCCGCCACCAGGAAAAATTAGTCAGCCACCACGAAAGTTTTCAGTGCCTCACAGGAGAAAAAAGTCTGAAAGAAACTCAAAGAACAAGACGTTTGTTAAAAATGAAAAAAGAACGCACTTTTTTAATGACACCACTAACAAACCTACAACTACCACACACTTTCTTGGCAAACTTTAACACCAAACATATCTGTTTTGTCAGATCCGTACAGTCGGATCGTTGAACCAAGTGTGCTGACTGAGGGTGGGGACTACACCGTGTCGTGTAACTCTGATCTGGCTGGAGTGCCAGGCAAGGGACAGAACCTAGGCTTGTATTCCATGTCTATCGGATGGACGAATGAAATAGATGAGATAGAAACGTTTGTAAGATACAGGGCTATCGACAAGAGCACTTATTATGTAAGTAGAAGACTAGAATAGAACTAATGGGAAAAAACCCAAAATGTAAAATTGCCAATACTTAAAAAGCGTTTATAACTATGTGGAAAACAATATATTTTAAAAATAATTATATATATATATATATATATATATATATATATATATATATATATATATATATATATATATATATATTTGAAAGTAAAATACTTTTTGACGCAGACGAACATATTTCAAATGCCGATACACTTCAAGTTTTCTTCATGTGTTATCCCCTAACATGCTACATACGTGGTGTACTGTCTAGTATTAATCTATCACCATAACTGTTATATAAACAATTTTGAATTTTACTTGCAGACAACTTTTGGAAAATGATGATAAAAACTTTTAAGGTTGGATAGTAAAATTTCAGCTTACACAATTTAAGAAATTTTTAAGCACAATTCAAAATTATAAATTATAAATTTATCATCAGGAATACAAACAAATGGAAAACTATAAAATCAGTTTTAAAAAACAACAAATTCAAATGGCATATTTTATAAATAGAAACATGCGAAGTGAAATAGTTGTACCTTTTCGTTACAGCAACATTGCTATCTTTTAATGGTAATTCTTTTTACAAGCTTTTATTTAACTCACTTCCTCTGTCGTCAGTCTGTCTAGATAGAAACGCAGGAGTGAAAATTCGGAAACTTCTACTTGACCGACACGATTCACAGTTGGCACGTGGGTCAAGACATGAAGACAATGCAATCTGAAACTAAATTTTACTTAATTGGATGCCTAATTAATTTTTTATTAATTAATTAAAATTTGGACCGAATTAGTAGGCATGTCTAGCCAACCACACCACACGCGTCATCACCTTCAATAGCTGCGCCATCACGTAATGGCTGCGTTCAAAAACCATTGCGCGCCTACTGAACGTGATGTTCAGTAGGCGCGCAATGGTTTTTAGTCATGTAACTCTATTGTAAATAAAACATGTAAAGTACTGAAAAAAAAATTCATAAAAAACGTTTTAATAACAAGCTTTTATGTAACAATGCACTAAAAAGTAGAAAATAAATTATAGACTACTATTTAAAAAACTATAAAGAAAAGCGTGCGTGTCTTCCTTAACATTAGTAAAGGTATCCAATAGATACTAATGAGACCCACGCTTTTCTTTATAGTTATTTAAATAGTAGTCTATAATTTATTTTCTACTTTTTAGTGCATTGTTACATAAAAGCTTGTTATTAAAACGTTTTTTATGAATTTTTTTTTTTGTGATATCATTAGCACCTAAAAATAAATCCGATGTATTTAAAAAGCCCTAATAATAAATGATTTATGAGATTTTACAAAATTAACATTACAAACAGAGGATTATATTTTTATTTAACACAACCATATATTTGCAAATTGTTTTAAAAATAAATGGTGTTTTACAACATGAGTTTTAAAAAGTTACTGAAAATTAATATGTCTTTGAGATTTTATAGCTAATTTAAAGTAATACTTCAGAAATGTAAATACATTTGTTGTACTTTTCTTTTCGACAAATATATTCATTGAGCTTTTAGTTTTTAACTAGACCACCCGTTATCCATGGATAACGGTGGTCATTCATATAAAACGTCACACCTTAGCCAATATGCTTTTGTCTTTTAAAAACACTGCAACAGTTTAGTTAAGAAACTCAACAAAAAAAAATTGACTGCAACGAATTCGGACCCGCGATTTTGTTTCCAAAAAGTGTCTTCTATGCTGTCGACTCTCACAGGCTACTAGATACTTGTTAAGAGAAAATATATTGAGTTATTTTACTTAGCCTCCATAAGAAAGTAAAATCAAAATAAATTATATTCTGAATTAAATGTATATCCTAATTTAACCAATTCAATTGCTTAGAAATAAAGATTTATATCAAACTAGCCGTCCCGGTCAGGCCATACACGGGATGCTGTAAAAAAAAAAAACACAAAAATAAATATAAACCGTTACCCTTACCACAACATCCAAC